ATAACAATAAAATCCCTGCGTGAGGGATTTAATCTGTGAAAGGATATTTTCAGAAATAAAACCTGTCAGAAAAAATAAACCTGCTTTATCTTTAGAGTAAATTACAACTCCTCAGCTAAATGTGGTGTTCTCCCTGTCACACACACATACACACAAACACACACACTCAGGGTGTCCCACCACAGGCAGTTTGCTGCTAACCATTAAGGCATGTAAACAAGCTGATTTGGGCGTCATGAGACCAGAAATGAGAGCTTTCTCTGGGCGTGTTCAGAACTCTGTCCCGGGTCGGTCAGCTGCAGCTCTGACAGAGAGATGGTGATAGCGTGAGTTTGCAAAATCCCTCCCTGTTGTTAAATTTTAGCCATAGAAATGCATAATGATGATGTGCAGATGGATTGGTGATAATCTATAACAGTTCGAATGATGGGTGAGGAATGTGAATACAAACTCTGCAGGGAAAAGTGTCTTCACACATTCATCTGTACCACAAAAAAATTTGTTTTTTATATTTTTGCAGATGCGCTTTGAGTGTTTGGAAGAAAGCGTGAGATTTTATGTGCTGGATTCTCCTCCTAACACTGACTCTGCTAATACTTTCCTGTCCATAGGGGGCACTGTGGACACACATTATTGAATCTACAGGTCCAAAAATACAGCAAGATCTATGTGCATAATTATTTGTTTTCGACATCTACTTTTTTTAAAAATTATTTATCTATTTATTTATTTTTTGAGCATCAACATGTCAACCTTGTCTTGGACTAGGCGGTGTTGTGGTTCGATTCATCTTGCAGGTCTTATCATATGGCTTTTGGGCTCGAGGAAACACTCTAAGAGCTCAAGTTTTATGATCTGGTATAAGACTTTTACGCCATTCAAGGTCTAAAAACCTCATTTTAGACACTTAAGGGTACTAAAATGTTATAAATCCAAATGAAGACTTTGTAAAGATCTGCAGGATCCCTAAAACTGTTGTCTTAAGAGAGCAGCATGGATCCCTCTAATTTAGTAACTGATGATTTTACTGTTTCTGTTTGTATGAAACATTCAGGTGTCTGCATATTTAATAACACATAGACACACCTACAGGTACAGACACAAAGGCACACACAGAGACTACAGAGAGAGGCGTGTTGGAGTCTCTGGGGACTCTTCCATATGCTCAGCACACTGAACTGTGAACACTCTGCTCACACACTCTCTCACACAGCTTATAAACTAATGATGAAAGCGATTCCTCCAAACGCTAATCAGGACCAAAATAACTCGCTTGATCATCTTCTATCAAAGGCCACGAGACGCTCCGCCACTCGGACAGACTGACAGGATAAATGGAAGCTGACACCAACCCAGATCCGTCAACAAAAAGGAAAAACACCTGGAAAAGCAGACAGGTAGACATATGTGGGACATGGCTAATGACAGGAGCTACTTTAAAATTAGAAAAGAGAAAGAAGGAGAGGAGGTGAGGACGGAAGAAAGACACGAACACTCTCAGAGTCAAACCTGCGAGGATGTCTTAGCTGACCTGCTTTAAAGAGGCCTGTCACACAGACGGAGAGGAGTTTATTTCTGCAGATATTTACTCCCATCAGTCTGTCTGCAGACTCTGAGCTGCATGGTTTCTAAGGATGCAAAGACAAACGGACATGTCACATGAGAGAGAAACCTCAACGGTTTAATGGTCCTTTACAACCCTGCAGATGAAGAGAAGATAATCCTTCTCCAGATTAATTAATCTCATCCCTGTTTGGTTATTAACATAAAAATATATGAATGTTTGCCCTGAATCCTCTGAACGTCATCAAACCAGATCCCCATTTGATTCACATTCAGCTCTGCATTCAAACTGGTCCACACAGATAGAGCAGCTTATTTCAGTCTGCTGTCACTGATTATTACAGCTCATTAAAGGAGTCTGAATTTATGCAGCTTCCATATTTAAAAACTGTTTCGCATGATTGTGATAATTAAAGACAGACGAAGACAAAAGAAACAGCTTTTTAAAAACCTTTTTAAAAACCTCAGTTTTCACAAAAAGTTCAGAATATAAAAACGGAAAATATCCTTGAGCTTGTAGTGCCCAGCGCCAGCTTTCCACCCACACCTCACCATTCATTCATTCATTCATCCAGCCAGACCTATTTCGTTTCTACATCTACAAACTCCCAATCCACCAATCACAGCATGCCACTATCCAGTCAGTTTGAATCCCCTACCTAGAAATGTTTTTTAGTTGGAAAAGAGCAGAAGTGGAGTCCAGATATTTTACCATGGAGTTTGGCAAACTGTGGAGAAACACACCGCCGATTCCCGAGGGGACTTTTGAATTTTTGGAGTTTAGCTGCTTCCTGGAGCGAATACCTTCTTTTACAAACTGACTGACTGACTGATGGCTGTTCCCACTTGACAAATTTCAGAGGTTTTATTTTGTTTTGTTTTTTGTTTCCTCAGTGTGAGAGACCAAGACCAATTTTCTGTTTCCTGATCAGAGCCTGAAAGCCTGATCAGAGCAGTAAAATGAGAATGAGGACTGAGAGGAAAAGAGCAAGAACCAACAAAAGTTTCTGTTCATATTTATTTGAAAACAACAATCCTTTTTTTCCACTTCCACTGCGATTCCTTGTTGCAGCTGGGTTTATACATGATATTTGTATTAATTCCACAGAACACCATCACAAACGTCACCCTTTTTAAATGCACGTTTACTTTTTTTTGTCCTTTTTTTCTGAATGGTTGTCATTTCTAAAGAATGACCTTGTGCTTTGATATCTTTGAAAGAGAGAAAGAGATTTTTAAAGACATCATTGTCATCATGATAAGTGTACATAACAGAGGAGGATCAAATAGAAAAAGTCGTAAGAAGAAGAGGATATACTGGTCAAATACACACTGATACACTGAGATACTGTACACACTCACATTGCAGCCTGCCCGACTCCGTCCAAAACTGTCCGAGAAAAAAACCAAGAGCTGTGTCACTGAAAACAGCACCACCCAAACTGCTCCCTTCTGCTCCTGATTGAGGATTTAAAGTACGATCATTGTTGCCTTGCAACAAATACATTCCCTGCTGGTGAGCAGAGTTTTGGCTAAATATTGCTTAGCTACACAGAAGATATATCAGGAGAGGAGGAGGGACCAGAGCAGGGCGAGAGGAAGCAGTGCAGAAAGCCTCAATGTCACAACTACCCAATGGATTCGTACAATTTTAGGGTTCAGAGTGCAGAGCAGCTCTCCTCCAAACACTTCCAATCAAAGTTTGCTGCAAAAACTAACCAGAGATCAGGGACCTGTGAGCAGAGATCCTGTAAAATATAAGGTGCATTCATCAGAGTTTGGTGCGTTCTTTCACGTTCACATGTCTCAGAAATAAAGCCGGAAATAAGAGTTTGAGTGGGTTGATTGCCATGGCCTCAATGTGCATCGATGCTGAAAAATTGATGTAAAGGTTTGTGTTCAGGGGAGTTTCATGAGTATTTACATGGACTGGAATGTTTCCCCTGTTCGGATGCAGAAATCGTTCATGACGAAGTAGTTTGTCATCAGCGTAGAGGTTGATATTTGTCAAATGGAGGAGGTGCTGAGGGACGGGGTTTTTTAAACCAACGACTGAGCATAATGCCACGGTGCAATAAAGGCGTTCATTCACTTAATGCTGAGAGCGAGTCTCATAAAATTCAAAAGGAAATTCACCACGAAAGAGAGAGTAAAAAAGAAGGGAAACCACGAGCAGGGAGAGGTGAAGAAAATGTACGAGCAAAATCTTAATGTGAATGTCATCCTACATGTGGAGTGCAGATAGATAGACAGACAGATAGATAGATTGAAAGATAGATAGATAGATAGATAGATAGATAGATAGATAGATAGATAGATAGATAGATAGATAGATAGATAGATAGATAGATAGATAGATAGATAGATAGATAGATAGATAGATAGATAGATAGATAGATAGATAGATTCTTTATGTTCCATATGCTGGGTAAATATCATGGTAAATCTTACGTCTATATGTATGTATATATACCTCAGAGTGAAGGCTTCACTCAGATGTATATAAATAAGTCTAACATATATAAAGCCATATTACAGTGTACATGTCCTCGCCCTACTGTCAGCGATAGCAAAAACCCATGCTTTACATACATAGAAAAAGGCATCCACGACATTTAAGAAAAAATGTACAATTTTTATGAAACATGGTAACAATAATAAATAGTATTATAGAATCGCTGCTGTACACAAAAAAGCCATTTTTAAAATTTCACTCATATAAAAATATGTTTTAGTGCAACCGTACGTAATAATAGTAATATCCATAACTTCACATCGCTTGTTGAGACTTTTAAGGTGTCAATAACAATAAAAGAAACACAGGAGGGGGAGGAAAAGAGGGGGAGGAGGGGGAGAAAGTTGCATTTGTTACAAAGCTGATACGCAAACGGTGATAGTATTTTATTTACAGTTACCTTCCTGCTCTGTTTGTTTATAGAAAACAAACAAACAAACAACATTTGAAAGAAAAGGCACACACATAGCTGTCCGATCGTTTCCGTCGTTTTTTCGGACGTACCGCTGCGTTCAGAATCCGCTCGTTTTTCTGGCAGGTTTTGGTCGGCTCATGTTGGTGTTTAAGTTCACGTCCATGTAAAACTGATCCTCTTTGAAAAGTCTGAATAAGAAAGTTTGAGCTGCAGGTCCTGCTGTGACCAGGCGTGCTGAAGGGACTGCTTTTAAGGTCCTGAAGAGTCATTCACAGTCCTTTACAGTCTGTTCTACTCTGATGCATGGAGTGTGTGAGTGTGTGTGTTTAAAAGAGAGAAAGTGTGTGTTTAATCTGAAGGAGGAGATGATGTGTGTAAAGTGTGTGAAGTGTGTAAAGTGTATAAAGTGTGTGAAGTGTGGCGTTTCTCTCTCTCTTCCTCTTCATCCTCCTTTTCCTCCCTAAAGCAGTGAAATGATCCACATCTAAGTCTCCTCCTCTTGCAGCTCTATGACTCCTCATTGCCTCTCTTTGTGCTCTCTAACTCCCCCTCTCTCTCCAGCCTCGGGGTTTTGGACGACCCTGGAGGCTGCAGGGTTTCAGATCCAGGGCTGAGGTTGGGCAGGTGAGGAGGGGAGGGGGATGAGGGGGAGGAAGAGGAGATGGGGAGTGATGGGTGAGGAGGAGGCCTGAGCTCAAGGCCGCTAAAGTGCTGAATCCCGGGTGATGGCAATGGGTGAGGGGAGAGGGAGCGCTGGTGGAGCTGGGAGTCTGGAGTTAACATTTCTCCTCCTCCCCCTCCTCCTTCAACTCCCCCTCTGTCGGCAAGCTCCTCAGTGTCAATGCAGAGCGAGGCGATGGCCTTGGTGCAGGTCTGGATGCTCTCCTCCTGCTCCTGCCTCACCTCCCTTCCCTGTGAGCAGGGGTGAGGTGAGGAGGCCTCCTTCAGCCCCTCAACTCCTCCTGAAGCTCCTCTCTGGGTGAAGGAGGTGAAGTGAGAGGAGGTGGCCTCGCTGGAGGAGTCTTCTGATGTGCTCTTCTGCAGCAGCAGACGGGATGTGCTCTGCTGCACCCCCTGCTGGCCCAGAGGTGTGCTGACGGCGGTTGGGACAGAGTGTACCATCTGGATCCCCCCGATGGGGATCATGGGGAACGGAGAGCGCACCTGAAACAATAGGAGGAGTCAGGTTAGAAAGAAGAGGCTTACTCAGAGTCTTAAAGGGATATTCCGGTGTAAAATTAAGTTAGGGTCAAACACACCATAACACTTAGTTAGACACCCCGTCGAGAGATGAATGTTGCCGACTGCTTGCTTCTCTAGTTATACCAACTTTAGTAACTACCGCATGATAGCAAGACACAGACAAAAAGCCACTCTACAGCCACAAATAATGCTCAGAACAGCACCTAACTTCATCAACAGTACATACAGGGTCCCAGCCATAGTACTACCCACCAAACATCTTTTTAACTTTGCCTAATTTCTTTGGCAAAGAGACTAAACACAACTCACCCACTCTCTTTCAGCAGCCGCTTGTTTGTACAGAGACCTCAGGCGAGTCCATTACCGACTGCAGCGGGGTGAAGCAGCTCAAGGAAGAACATTTATGATCATTGCTTCATTATTTCCTTGAAGTATTATCATCATATTAATCATTTTGCACTGCAGATGCAAAAGTTCTTCTGCCTTATTGTCCCGGTCTGATTGCATTTCCATGAGGAAATGATCATAAATGTTCTTCCTTGAGCTTTGTCACCCCGCTGAGGTCTCTGTACAAACAAGTGGCTGCTGGAAGAGAGTGGGTGAGTTGTATTTAGTCTCTTTGCTAAAGAAATCAGGCAAAGCTAAAAAGATGTTTGGTGGCCGGGACCCTATATATACTGTTGATGAAGTTAGGTGCTGTTCTGAGCATTATTTGTGTCTATAGAGTGGCTTTTTGGTTGAGCGCATGGCTGCTGAGACCGCTGTGTATTGCTATCATGTGGTTGTTACTAAAGTTGGTATAATTAATAACTATATATCACTAATAAATAAATACATACATTTTCCAAAACTCAACATTTAAACTACTACAAATTTTTTTTCCCCTCACCTGGAGTTGAGAGTGAAGAGGAAGGTGACTGAACAGGACTTGGTGAGGAGGACTGGACTGGTTACCACGGCTTCCAGCCCGTTCACCTGAGGAAGGTGAGCTTGGACGATGTTCCTGCAAACACAAACGGAAACATGAAACCTGAACTACAAATGAAATGAAGAGTTCCTCTGAGTCATAATGTGACGTCTTAGTTACAGTGTTTGTCACTTTAACACCCAGATGAGGCTTCATGAGGGAAAACCAAATATAAGACGGATGAATCAAGCCCTCATGTAAGAGACCTGGGTTACCTGGACTGCAGGTGGTGTTAAGAAGAAAAACACTAATGGCCTTTGAATGGAAAACATTAAAAACACGTTATCATAATTCAGTGTTCAGTCCTCAGAGCAGAGATGTTTCGGCTTAATGCTCAGTTTCAGAGAGCAAGCGAGCCAAAGTCTGAGGAGACTTTAAGAGCAAAAACAGACGAATGATTAACCACAGAGACCCGGCCGAGATCCCAGTACCACCACCGACAGGGCAGCTCCAGATTCCGTCATACAAGCCCTCCAGTCGGTCTGTATATAACCACCCTCTGTCTGTATATATACCTCCTCTCTCTATAAATACCCTCCATCTCTCTGGACAAAATACTCAGAGTGCTGAAGGTGTAAAGCTGCCTCTGAAAGTGTCTCTCCGGAGTAAATCCTGCAGATATCTCTGTGTTGGCAGTGACCTGTCGCAGTGGTACTCCTAACTCAAGCTCCAAATAATAAAGTGAATGTAAGTCTTTACTGCACTCTTACCGTTTCCATCTCTGCGCTGCCTCTGTGACGGTCCAGCTCTGTCTGACCCAACATCCCGCCCTGATGAGCCTGCCTGAAGCCCCGAGATCCACCCTGAGGACTGGAGGTCACAAACACAGACAGACAGAAGGAAAGAGGATTGATAAAAATACCTCACTGCATGCTTTGTCTAAGTTTCAGCATTTTTTACTACATAAAGTCAGACTGTCTTTTCAGGAAAGATGAACTGCTCTTTTTTAAATTTACCCATCTGTATTAAATACTTAAATATGATTTACTACACAACATGATAACAGGGATTCACTCTCAACGACAAAATGAAAGTCTTTTCAGTCGACCATAATTATTACATTCACGGAAAAAAGATATTTGGTGGTTTGGCTCCGTTCTGAGAGCTCCCTCTACAAACCCCTCCATATGTGGAAGCCTAAAGTGGGAAGAGCACAACTCCTTTCTGTTTCATATGTTTATCAGCTGACAGCTTGACCAGTTCCCCTTTACACACCTATCATCTACTGTGAAGATGTTTGTGGTATTCAATGACTTCAGTCTGACAACTCTACTTCTGCCAACTGCTTTTTACCTCAAAAGTGATAGTGTCTTTGCTGCTGCTCTCCCGTCCTCCACCCCAGCTTCTCCTTTATATGCTGTCTGATTTATAATAGTGTCTTTGCTGCTGCTCTCCCCTTCTCCACTTCTCCTTTATATGATGTCTTATTTATAATAGTGTCTTTGCTGCTGCTCTCCCCTCCTCCACCCCAGCACCTCTTTTTATTCTGTCTGATTTAACAATAGTTTCTTTGCAAATACTCTTCCCCCCTCCACTCCAGCTCCTCCTTTATATGCTGTCTGATTTATAATAGTGTCTTTGCTGCTGCTCTCCCCTCCTCCACCCCAGCTTCTCCTTTAAATGCTGTCTGATTTATAATTGTGTCTCTGCTGCTGCTCTCCCCTCCTCCACCTGTGCACCTCTTTTTATTCTGTCTGATTAATAATAGTGTATTTGCTGCTATTCTCCTCTCCTCCTCACAAGCTCCTCCTTTATATGCTGTCTGATTTGAAAAAGTTTCTTTGCTGCTCCCTCCCCTTCTCCACCCGAGCTCCTCCTTTATATGCTGTCTGATTTATAATAGTGTCTTTGCTGCTGCTCCCCCCTCCTCCACCTGTGCACCTCTTTTTCATTCTGTCTGATTAACATTAGTGTATTTGCTGCTATTCTCCCCTCCTCCTCACAAGCTCCTCCTTTATATGCTGTCTTATTTATAATAGTTTCATTGCTGCTGCTCTCCCTGCCTTGGTTTTGAATCTATGTAAATGAATGGAGCAGTACTAGATAAATTGAGGTTTAGGAATGATAATAACTGAGCCCTGATGCTTTAAAGGATGTGGTTCATGATTAGTGGGTGTAGTTTTTGCTCAAAAACTTTGGGTTCAGTGATCAAATCTGTTTAATTGTTTCAGCTGTTCTGCTCTGGTGTGGATGTTTATGAATTTTCTGGATTTTCTGAAGCTCAAAGCAACACAATAAGACCTCAGTCTTCCCCCTGTACTCACCCCTGGTGGTGGAGGTGTTGGTGCAGCCCTCGACGAGGAGAAACAGGTCGGATCATCCCCCTGTGGCGGCCTCGGGGGGAAAGGTCACGCTTGTAGTCTCTTCCTGCGGGGGACGTGGGGCGAGACAGAGGAGAAAGCAGGGATAGGTGTCCCCTCCTGGGGGAGAGGTCCCGCCTATACCCCCCTGACACCCCCAGGTCTCTTTTGGGGGAGATGTGACGGAGGGGGGAAATGTCCCGTTGGGGTGAGAGGTGTCCGGGTCGGGATGAGGGGTCGCAGCGTGGGGAGAGGTATCGGTGAGGTGAGGGGGAGGATGAGGGGGAGAGGTCCAGGCCGGGTGAGGAGAGGCGGGAGGAGGGTGAGGAAAGTTCAGGAGAGGGGACAGAGAGGTCCTCCTCCATGGAAGAGGAGGGAGGGGCCAGAAGCCTGCTGCCGAGTGCCCTCTGCAGGCCGCGCTGGTACTCCCTCTCCACCTGATCGGTGGGCGGAGCTTGTGGCGTGATTTGGATGCTGGGCACGGTGGTGAAGTAGCCAAACAGCGGAGGCTTGTTGGTGTTACCCAGGAGGTCAGAGGTGGAATGATGGGAAGGGGGAGGAGCTGAGTGGGAGGAGGCCACGGCTGTGATGGACATGGAAGGGAGAGCATACGGCTGCGGGCTGGTGGATCGAGAGCGAGTTTTGGGGGTGGAGTCACCGTCATAGTCATCTTCCTCATCCTCATCATCGTCTACTTCATCCCCATCCTCCTCGCCACCCTCTGAGTCATCAGCGTCTGAAAACTGATGCTCCGCCATGGCGGCTCTTGCCATCTTATCAGAAGACCTCTGATCTTCAGCTGTGACATCTGAGGGAGGAAGAGGAGGAGAAAAAACATGATGAAGAGTGTCAGCAGATAACCTCCTCTTGAGCTAAAGCTGTAAAGGCACCATATAACAGCAAACAGAGGAACAAATAGAAAGTAAGTATGAGAAGAGAGAGGAGTAAAAATAGGAGGAGGTGCAGAGGAGCCACTAAATGAAGAGAGGAGGAAAAACCAAATAGAGGAAATAAGAAGGAAAAGCAGAGTCAGCAGAAGTAAGACAGCAGAAACTGAGTTTGGGTTCATATGTGTCTAAAGACGGAGAGATGAATCAGTCAGATTCCCAGCAGCTCAAAGCAATAACAGAGAAACAGTCAGTAACAGAAAAACAGTCAGTACCAGTTATTTCAGACCTCTCTAAACAGCCTTTAACAGATCATCTAACATCTCTGCTTTCACTTTCTCCGTGAGATTTACAGATCCACTGCCTGTGGTTCACAGTGTGGATTCTGTGTTTGATTCGATGTTTTTAAAGTTTCTGCATTCACAAAGACGGACAGTTGTCCGGCTGTGATCAGAGTTTTTCTCATGACCTTATACGTCCATCAGTCAAATCTGAAAATATTCCTCTGATATTTTTTTTTCACTTTTCTTCGTTTGTCCTGGTCTTCCTGTAAGGAGCCGGAGCTGTGTGAAGTTAATAACTCCTGTTTAGTGAGCAGAAACCAGATCCACTAACAACGGACTACTTTTCCAGTTAGTCTCTCAGATACATACACAACCTTTTATTACGGACCGCAGGGTTTACGTCTGACTGTCTGCAGGGCGGCTCTGAGGAGGTCTCTGCCAAAAACCCTCAGAGTGAGAGTGTGTGTGTGTGTGTGAGAGAGAGAGAGAGTGTGTGTGTCTGAGAGAGAGCTGAGGTTAAGTTGAATGAGTTTGTGGTGTAAAATCTCCAGCATTCAGACTTTGTCTCATTCTGACCATCACAGTTTTAGTTTAAACATCAATCAGCTGATGTTTCTAAAGCCAGTCCCAGTTTTCACTCTGATTCAGTTTTTACAGCCTTTCTGTGTCCCTATGATTTCTTTAGATAGATCTGAACAGTTACTAATGTAATAACTGAATGACGTACTAACTTAATAAACTGAATAACTTACTAACATAAAAACTAAATAAGGTAATGACTGAATAGTGACGGCTCCTCCTGCAGGTTCTCACCTCCTTCGTCGGCCTCGTTGTCTTCCACAGACGACATGGAGACTCCTAACTCCAGACACTTCTTCATATGAGCCTTGGACTTCATGTGCTTGGTAAGATTTCCTACAAAACAAACACATGTTTGTATCTTTGCAGAGTGCAATCTGAGCTTTATTCGCTCCTTTATTTTGGTCTTCCATCAGATATCAGAGCGTCAGCATCTTCAGCCTCAGAGAGGAAGTTTCTGTCTGACCTTGGACCCTGAAAACAGCCTCTCTGCAGGTTTCTGATTTAACTGCTTTTTAGATTCTTATTCTGCAGTTTAAGATTCTGTCTATCAAAAGTCAACACAAAGATGCCAAAAAAGTTTCCTGTGGCATAAAGACAGAGTGCTTTTGTCCTAAAATCCTCAATATTAAATAAAAGCTCAGATTATTTTTTCTCCGACAGACTCCGACAGAGTAGTTAAATCATTTTTACCTTTTGTCTTGAAGGCAAAGTTGCAGAATTTGCAGACATATGGCCGGACATCGGTGTGCGTTCGGATGTGTTTCTTCAGCATGCTGGGTTTCTTGCAGCGGATTCCGCACTCCTCGCAAATGTACTTCCCCCGACCACGACCACGAACATAGACGTAGTCCTCGTTTGATTTATACCTGGAAGAAAATGAAGAATGTAAGTGGATCTGTTCTCATCTGATTACAGGTGAAATCGATGCTCATCATCTAAAAACCAAATATTTTTTAAAAGTCTGGATGTACTGGCTCTGCAGTTACACATCTGTCTATCTGACTGCACCATTTATTTACAGGCTTTACAGCACAGATGATACCAGCACAGATCATAATAACCAGTATTTGCATTGATGTGCTAACCTCCCGCTAAAGACATCTTTTATCCAAATTTAGAATTCGGAAAATCAGGAAACAGTTCATGTGATTTTAACAAACTTTCAATCAAAACAGAAGAATCAGCATCATACTCAAGAGTTATCAGTTCACCCCTTACTCTGACAGCACAGTGAGTGTTGTGGACTCTCCCTGCAGCAGTCCACGTAAACATGTGGAAAGACAAGGAGCTCTTATATGTCCAAAGAATCCACAACATCAAATTTCACTGACACATGCAAGTAATTCTTTAGATAAAGGTGGTGACTGAAGGTTGGCTGAGTCAACATTTCAACAAGATAAGCTCTAAATTTCTACTTCACAAGCAAACAGGTGACATCAACCACATCCATTTATTCATCCGTAGGGTCTATCCCTACTGATTGTGCACCGAGCACAGATTTCTTTTCTGGGCCTCAGCCGTCTTTGAATGAGCAAACTAGACAAAATTTAGTGTCTGATGATCAGTGGACAGATCACATGATCAGCCCTGCCCACACTCTGATGTTATAGTCTGAAAATGTGGAAATCGGTCCATCAGTCCTTCTTTAAACAACCGTTGTTCTTGTTTTCCTGCAGCCGTGTTAGCTTCCACACGACCCCCTGCTGTTCATGTGAGTACTGCAATTTACGTGCATGTTGCATTAATTTTTGAGGCCGTGCACAGCAAATGCACTGGTGTTTGTGTAGTTAACAGCAAGTACATTTCCATGCTTGTTATTCAGGGAGAAATCTCTCATATTTTACAGTTAAAAAAGAAAGGTGTTCTTTCATTTTCTTGGCAGATTTATTCAGAGAGTTTCAGGTAAAAATAAATCTGTTGGTAATTTTGGTCCCTCTCTTTTACTTTTCCTGGAAACATCAGAATCATTGTTGTCAGATTGTATTTTCTGTCTAAATCCAGAATTATGAAAATAAAAGAGGAGTAAATATCCCTCTGAGTCTGACCTGCGTATAACCCAGTCTTATTTTACTACATAGAAAAACACAGTTTTCTTTGTTTGAAGGGATGACGGGCTTAAAGAGAAACAATGCAGTGTTCCTCTCTGGGTTTGGCGTTCATTCTCTCACTGCTGGTCTTCAAAAAAATGACCACAGTCCTCCTTTGGTTTGTCGTAGAAAACATCTCTGTCAGACCTGATTTTCAGACAGAGAGGCTCAGGAGTGAACCAGCGGACACTTGGCAGCAGGACCTGTCTGTCATGGAGGGAAATTACCCCCGACCACCGTCAAATGCTGCTCAACTTCATCTGTCTGCTCGGCCACAGAGGCATCACGTTCACCTCCCCTCTTTGTGGAGGAGCAGAGAAAACGGCTGCTGATGGCTGCGGTTTCAATCCTGTCTGCAGGAGTGAAGGTAAAGTGTAGTTCAGAGGGAGGTGAATACCAGGAGCATCAAACGGAGGAATCTGTGTTTGAGCTCACAGCACAGGGTGGGAAATACCTGAGAACGAGACGTTTACACAGCTGCTGCTGCTGCTTCTTATGAACCAAGGTCAGGACCATTATTGTGTGTGATCTGATTGAATCCACAGCACAGGTTTATACATTTATACGTTTTATGAGGCAGATTTTCTTTCAAATTTCAGGAGCAGAAAGACCAGAGTGACCTGATCCCTCAAACTACACTCACACTGTAGTCTGGATCTCTCTACAAAGACCTGGATCCTGATGTGTGTTTCAGCATCAGAGTGCTAATTACTTATAATCCAAGAGACTATCAGACTATAGAAAATTAAAATCCAGCTGACATATCTCAGACTGAGTCAGGCTTTCAGTGACCAGTCTTATAATCCACGTTTATCAAACATTATGGAAATATTGCCACAGTCTCTGCAGGGTTTGATAGAAATGCATGAAATACAAAAAAGACTTGACTGGATTATTGAACAGCATGTGGATTTCCTGGACTTACCCGCCCTCAAAGATTTTGATGCGTGTTGGTTCGCTGGTTGGTTGCTTGACTGACACCTCCTTCTCTACTTGCTCCTCCTTCGAGCGATCCCAAGACACCACTCCCTTCATCTTCCTTCCAAAATGACCGACATCCACAGGCATCAGCTCCGGCTTCAGCTAAAGAGGAGAGAGGGGGTGTTAAGGAAATGAAGCAAATCACAGACTCCATGTGCAGAAGGTTTTACATGTCTGCAGTCATACCTGGTCAAACCTGAGCTTCCAGGCCACCGATGACACCAATTTCCCAGAGCTGGGCGGGGACATGGCTGCAGTTGAGAAGATCAGGTCAGGGTTTCTCTTCTGTTTCGACCTCAGCAGAGCCAACGCTGCCTTGGTGCTGAGGCTCAGAGGGTTGGGGTTGTACGAGCTCACACTCCATGAGCCATAGACGGAACTCTGCTGGGCCACTGGGGTGCTGTTGGGTTTGGTGTAGTTCAGGAAGCACCAGCTGACTCTGCTCGTGGTGCGCAGGCTGGGGAACTGGAAAAACTGCTGGACATCAGCCACATCTGTGAGCAGCAGAGTCTGACCCACTGCTCCAGATAATCCTGCGCTTTGGTTGGTGGCCAGTTGTACCAGCATATTAACGGGGACTTTACCAGAGGCAGGCTGGTTAGTGCTATCAGTGTCCTCTGCATTGTCAGAGGACACCATGGACTGAGGGCTGGAGCTGGGCTCTGGGGCTGGATCATCCACATCAAGCTCCTCAGGGGAGTCCCGACCGCTTAAACCTGGAGAACGGTCAGTGACAATCTGGAGAGGGGGTGTAAAGCTTTCAGCACGGGGAACATCAGGAGGGTGGGGGGCAGCTGAGCGGACAGGGATGGCAATCTTGTTGGGGAAGTCATTCAGTGGAGGAGAAGAGGCCATCCTTTCAGGGTCATCGAGAGAGTCCTCACTCTTCAGACAGACTTGGTGACCTCTGCCCTCAGATTTCCTGCTGCTTTCAGTCCCGCTCAGCTCCACTGCACTCATCTCCTTCACTATCTGTCCGTACATCCTCTCCTCCTTCACCCTCTTCTGCTGCTTTGTCTCGATGAAGAGCTCTAAAGAACTGGTGGGGGAGAGCATTCGCTTACCGCCTCCGATGCTGGACCCTGAGGCGTCTATGGTGGATATGGTGCCTGATGTAAGTGACAGTGGGATCCCTGTGTTCAGGCGCTGCTCTGGCAGTGAATCTGGAGATTTCCAGAGTGGGTAGCGTGACGCTGCACCATCAGTCTGTCCCAGGAAGTGTGACAGGTTGAAACCCGTCCCACTAATGCCTCCAACTATTCCTCCAGGGGGTTTGCTTATGCTGGAAACCCCCCCTGAAGAAGCCACGCTGCCATTCTCAGCACCACCCGCACCGACCTCCTGCGGACCGCTGCCATGGGTAGCTATCAGCTGGCTAACACTTGTGTACATAACACTACCAAATGATGGCACGTGGGTTTGGATCCGCACAGGAACCAGCATTCCAGGCAGCGAGGCTGAAGAGCTGAGGTTCTGGGTGGCGAATACCGGCTGGATCTGCTGCAGAAGCATTGCAGTGGTGGTTGAGGTGGGCAGTGAGTGCTTGGAGACGAAGGTCTGCTGTTGGGCCAGGTTGGAGGTGCGAGATGAGAAAGAGGCAGTGTAGAACTGGGAATTTGGGTTTTCTGGTTTCCCATCATGTGGCTGTTGGTCTGGCATTTGCTGCAGGGGGTGATGCTGTGGTTGTTGTTGTTTGTGGAGTGGGTGTCCAGGAAGGTTGCTTGGTGATCTGATGTTGAGTTTTTGGAGTTGTTGCTGAGCCTGGAGGGTCAGCTGCTGTCTGGCATCTTGACCCCAGAACAGACTTGGCTGCTGGAAGGAGATGAAGGGAGGTGCATTCTGGTACTGCTGCATTACTTCTTTGTGCATGACCTCTTGGCATGGATGCTCTCCCTCAGATGATGAGCCTTGGGTGTGCAGGCGATGGAGCTGGGACCTTTTGTGAGAGAAAGATAAATGAACTTTTTTTCATATCATGCTTATACACATTTGCATTTTATATTTAAAAAACCTGTTAAAACCTCCTGTATTGGTGAAAATGCAGTCCTAGAGGGAGTGCCAACAGTCAACAATCAGCATTTGGTACTGCCTGAACCTTGCATGTATTACCTGTTGTAGAGAGGTTCATCCTGCAAGCTGTCCTCACTGATACTCTGCTGGAGGAGGTGCTGCTGGTGGTGTTGGAAAGACCCTACAAATGTGCCCAAAACACCACAAAAATATTTTGAGAGAATTTCAACTTAAAGACCTCCAATTGTGTGGCAAATTTACTGGAAATGTATAATTTATTACATAAAACATGGTCCAAACATTTCACTGTTACATTTCATAGTTCAGCCAAAGTCACATAGAAAATACCACAAAAAACCCAGTTTGCATCATTGATCTGCACTGTACTTGCAGACTTACCACTGGTGCCACTGCTAACTCTTTTGGCTCTGCAGGCTACATCACTACTGCTGTGGGGAGATCCAGATGGACCAGGCCATGCACCGTGCTCCAGACTCTCCTGTTTGATGGACATCTCAGCTGATCCTGGCTCCTGGGTGACTGCCTCTGGGTAAACGCTCAGAGAAGCCTGTCAAAGACATTTGTACGTTTGTAAGTCGAAAATGAGACGTATTCAAAAACTGAGGTCACAAGGCAGGTCACAAGTCAAACTCTACCTACTGTCCATCTGAAGACCTTAACACCAGCCCATGTCAGCTGACAGTTCAGCCAGTTACCCTCTACACATTCAGCAGTCAAATATGAAAAGTTCCTTCTCTTTAAACCACTTTAAACTGCTGACTCATCCTGCTCCCGAATCAGCCCAGTGTGTGATTTAACCAGGGTCACATGGATTGTCACTGGTGCTGCTCAGTTGTGTTCCCCCTTACTCCATCATATCTGCCCATGAAGCAAAGGGGAAGTCCGCTCTTCCCAGCTCAAGCTGAATTTAACTCATTTAAAGCAAATACTTGTTCTGCTTGACTACAGTGGTTTGGTGCATGGTATGTCATAAGGACAGGTAAATGTACCGGGACTTTAGTTTAAAGGATTACAGAAGTAGCAAACTTTGCAGGTTACCTGTCGAACAAGGTATCCACGTCGGCGTTCCTTCATTGCACTGGCACTGGAGTAAATCTCTCCCTGTCGAGAGGGGGACAAGCTTCCATAGTCAAAGGATTTACTCCTCATTTCAGGCAGCTCTGTGGGCAGGGTGCATGGCGCCTGCTCAGATGAAGACCTCCTCATCTCTCTCTGCTGATGGTGACTGGAATGGCTGCTCCCAGGCACTGTCAGGAACTCCGACTGCCTCGCTCCACCGCTGGATGCTGAGTCATCCTGCAGAGAAATCCCAAAGAAAATTACAGGTGCTGCGTGTAAATGCTCTGATAACAGCACATCAACTATGAGAATGGTAGTTGGAATGCTTGGGAATCTTAAACAGATTACCTGTTTGGTAGGCGAGGCAGACTTGAGGCCTTCCTCTCTGTCAAAGGACATTGAGAAGGAGGAGGAGTGAGACAGGTTGCTCTCTTGGCTGGGGCTGCGAGACAGGCTAGTACAGGTTGACTCGAAACTTGATTCCCCTGATGAGTGCTCCATATCCGCCAGACGCAGTCTCTTTTTCTTGGGCGGTAGCTTTTCTGACGGCATCTGAGAGAGAGTGTCGCTCCTCTGTGGCAGCTGGAACTCCTCCACATGCTGCTGCTGCTTCTCAGGCTCCTTGGACATCGAAGATTCTGTGTCCTTCTCTGGCTTGTCAGGCTCTTCCGTCACCCTGATCTCAGGAACTTGGATGTTGGGTTGTCGGACCAGTTTGTGAGGGATGTGGTAAGGTTGTCCAGGTGAGGCCGCTGCTGATGAGGATGAAAGGGAGGCCAGGTCACTGTCACTGTGAAGCTGCTGCTCCATGCTCTCTGTCCTCAGTAGGACGGATTCAGGACTCAGAGCATCCTCAAAGATCTCTGTGTCAGACTGTTCAGAGTGCTGGCTTGATAAAGCTTTATCTGATGGTTGATAACCTGGCTGCTCGAAGGACTCTGACTTCTCAAAGGAGTTTGGCCGGCTGAGGGAGTTGGTGTGCTGTATGACTGATATGACATTCCCAGCTGCCTTCCTGCCCTCAGAGTCAGGAAAAAGTGCAATGTCCTCGGAGCACATGCTGGCACAGGTATCGAAGCTGTCCGACTGGCTGTGGGCGCTTTGAAGGGAGCCCTTCCCTATAGAATTGGCTCTGGATCCATCCAGACTGCCTTGTTTAAATTCATAATCCCCACTCATCTCCATTGAACCACTACAGCTGCTGTCACAGTGCCCAGGACTATCCTCTTCATCCCCGACACTCTTCTCTATTCTCCTTTTTCGTGTAGCTATTTCTGACATGCTAACTTTAGTACCATATGGACTGTAGGTGATGTGTTCCGGGACTCCTGGGCTGCGCTCACCGAGCTTCATACCCAGAGATGAAGCTAAATTTTTGGACATGTGTCCATAGCCCTCTGCTTCTCCTGTGTGAGCTTCATTGGCTGAATGTTCGAAGGCAGCCTGTCTCCTGAGTCTGCGAGGGGGGTAAAACACGTCATCTGAAGACATCATCTCATCAAAGGAGTGGCTGCCTCGGATCCCTGGAGGGACACTGAGGTTAGTAGGGGAGGAAGTTGGCATAGAGTTACTCCTGATAAGATGCCCTGACTCTGGCGGAGGCTCCAGAAGTCCTGTGCTGCTCTGACAGGGTCCTGTTGGATACTGCTTGGGATCTCCAGAGACTCCTACATCCCCTCTGAAACAGATATGATCCTCAGCCCTCTTACCCATGTCCATGACAGCACCTGGTTGCTTGATGCTAGCCAGACTGCTGGGGTCTGCTCCTGCCATGCCCACTGTGATAGACTGTCTGGGTCTAGTGTTTGGACGGTAGTACCAAGTCCGACCAAACATAATCTCTTCATACGTCTTGACGTTCGTATTTGGAGGACTGATCTGCTGCTCAGCACTCTCAGAGCGTGAGAAGTAGCCAGAGTCTGTGCTCCCTTTGCTGTTGGGACTGAGGAGGTTCAAGGACTGGGACATGGCAGAGTCAGAGTCTAGGCCTTTTTTATCATTAAGTTTGAGAGCCAAGCGCTGTCTGATGCTGGGGGAGTCATCCAGTGAGTGTGCCCTTACCCCAGCCTGTGATGCTAACATGTGGTGTGACCCTTTAATGTCCTGAAAGGGTGGGCACTCCATTCCTGTGGACGGGACTCCTCCAGATTTGGGGACAATAAGGATAGGCACTTTCATAGGCCCCACGGGCAACTCTTCAGCTGAGTCTGCATATGCTGGTTCCCCACCACCTGTGCAGAGAGACAGAGTGAGCATGATACAAAGTGGAAAACTGGTGCACAACACAGACATATAGGCAGTAACAAACGATAGTGAAGAGAAATCTTTAAGGGAAATCTTAGCAGCTTATCATAACAATTATCCAAGAGTTTAGACACAAAATGTTTATAAAAAAATGAGAATTTGGTGGTTTTCAAAGTCCATATTTAAAAGAAACGGTTCAAAGGCAACATATCAAACACTAGAACTGAAAAAAATGTTGTCATTGAAAAATAGCCCATTTAAGGCGGTAGAAGAAGAGGAAAACAGTCTCCTGTGTTCGCTAATGTTTACAGAGTGTTGGGAAATGAAAAGCTGATGACCCACGATGAAAAACATGAATGTGGATCTACTTTTAACAATCACAGTGCTTTATCGAATTTAAACTAACATTTTACAGTTTCAACATTCAAAGCTATGTCTCTGGACTGTTTAAAATAAAGACAGGCTGTAAATAAAAAGCTAACCATCCCTGCCTGCTCTAACACTGGTGTTGTAAATTTTGTTTACAGAGTATCAGGATGACAAACTTAAAAAATTTGTAGGAAATGACCTGCATTCTTGTCAGATTCAAAGGAGATCTGTGGGATGGGGCTGTCTTTGTCCATTAGCATGGTTGAACCCTCCACGCCTTCCTCATCCGTGTCGGTGCTCTGCTCTCCGTCCGAGTGGACCTCGGCCTCGCCTACTGGGGATGCCTGGTCCACGTCCCCACTGCGTGCTGCAGCTAGCTCTGAAAATGGCACGAGTCCAGCCTTGATGGCATGAGCGTGGGACTTGCGATGCTTGTACAGGTTGCTCTTGGTTTTGAAGGAGAAGCCACAGGGTCCACATGGATATGGCCTCTCTCCGGTGTGTGAGCGGATGTGCTTCTTCAGGACGCTGGGCTTGGCGCAGGCTCGCCCGCAGTAGTGACAGATATACTTACCGGGTTTTTTTGGCTTCTGCTCCTTTTTGCTGTACCCCTCCTCGCCAAGCTCAGAGCTCGACTGAGAATACTGTCCGAAGGAGCTGGGTAAGCTGGGAGATTTCTGGCGAGGAAACCTCCCAGCACCTGCCCCAGTGTGTCCTGGGTGTCCTACAGGGTACAGGTCATCTGATGGCAACTGGCCTGCAAATGGCCAGGCGTGAGGCTCCAGACCTGGCTGAGGTTTGGCTCCTGAAAGAAAGCGATCAGTCTGGGGGTGCTGGGGGTACGGTTGACCCAGCTGGTAGGGATATCCTCTTGGGAACCCCTGAGCAAATGGCCCTTTGGGGTCTTGAGATGGAGGACCTCCCATGGCCCCGACTGCAGAGGGTCCAGATAGCAGCTTCCCAGAATTCCCTGTATATGCGTACTTCTGCTGAGGTGCTGACCCCCCGGTGGCACCACCTGGCAAACTCTCCCGGTGTTTCGCCTCTGGGTCAGTAAAAGTGCTTTGCTTGGTGGTTGCTGAGGGCTCAGACGCCCACCTTCTCGGAAGAGGCGTCTTCTCTCTCACCGCTTCCTTATTTGAGCATTTCTGCCCTGCGGCAGCTGATTCACGAGCTTCCATTTCTGTGAAGCTCTTCTGTGGGTGAGAAGAGGAAGGATGTAGGGATGGAGGGGAGTGGGAGGGTAGGTTCTGGAGGGTTACAAGGTCCCAAATCTACCAGGCATGATAGCTGAACCTCTGAGGGCTGCCAACCATTTCACAGACACCGGAAGTACCCGTCCACTGCTGGAATAGAGTCATGGTGAAACTGGGCTGGAAACAGGAATCGGGACGTGGAAAGAGAGGGGGAGCTTTGGAGGATGACATCAGAAATCTCTTCTTTCCTCTGCTGCCTGGTTGTAAACACCCTGATGTCTCTGTGCGCTGACTTTCTGTCCAGTTCATAAAAAAGCTGAAGGGTCCTTGAGAGATCTGCAGAGACACAGACAGAAGAGTTTGGTGAGCAGAGGATCAAATATCTGTTACAGACAGTAAAGACAGCATACTGAATATTAGAGGAGAGGAAATACTGACATCTTAAAAAGTGCCTGAAGATCCTTCTTCTTTAGCTTCAAAAGTCATCCAGTTTTCACACCAAAAGACCTGCAATGAAACAAACACAGGGCTGTTAATGTTTCCTACAATGAGACACTGGTGACAACTTCAGCCATCGCCTGACACTTCTACCTGACTATGAGGAGTCTGACTTCAAACCCTGAAGTGATTTACATCAAGATGCGGCATTTCATCTGCTGGCTGACCTAGCACCGAACTGGAGGTGAGCTGTCAGGTTCATGCCTGATGTGTGGAGGGAAATGTCATTGTTTGCTCTGTGAGTTTCTTCTCACTGGAATCCATCTGTGCTTTTTTGCCTTCTCCACCCCTTCCTCCCTCCCTCCCCCTCTCCCTCCCCCTTCATCTCAGTGAGTCACTGTTGCAAAGCAAACCCACGCTGTTCCTAAAAAGACACAAAGGCTTATAAATAGCTCTGTGGAAGTGACGTCGGAGTGTCATAATGTGTGTGGGCGTCCAAAAAGACCAAGTAGAAGAGCAGCCATCAGCACCAGCACCTTTCCTTCCTCTCTGGGTGTCACAGTTTGATCTGACTTGTTCTGTACTCTAAAGAAGTGCGGAGAAGAGGCGACACACACACACAAACACACACACACACACACACACACACACACACACACACACACACACACACACACACACACACACACACACACACACACACACACACACACACAGAGCGAAAAAACAGGCTCTGACATCTACAGGGTGCTTGCAGTCTTTGCAACTGCACTGCAAAGACTGCAGAGACCGAGTATTTGTGCGTGTTTCCGCTGTTTAACGTTTCTTAACCACACAACACCTGACAGCAAATTCTCACACACACACACACACACACACACACGCACACACACGCACACACACATACAGGCCTGCTGAAAAAGCGCTTTGACTCTGTATTTCCTCATATTCCACTCTGATTGCGACACAAATACACACTTACGTCCTGGCCTACACGCACACGCACACACACATACACACACACACACGCACACACACACAGCAGCCTCAGAGCTGGTGAACAGGCCTGAATGACGTGCGTGTCTGGAGGCCCAATGTGAGCTCTAAAAATAGCTCCAGAGGAAAACATGCTGTATTCTTAGCAGCAGGAATGTTAACTTTGGGCAACCTTGTGTTTTTCATGTGTGCCTCTGTTAAACTCACTCACTCTTTCTCTCTCTCTCTCTCTTTTTATCTCTCTCTCTCTCTCTCTCTCTCTCACACACACACACACACACACAAAGTGGATCCATTAGCTCAGAGCTGGGTCATACTTCAATGTTTCCATGGTGTTAAGAGTTCAAGAATGCAGCCTGAAACCCTGAAACCCTGAAAATGACTCTCCTGTTCGATACTGAGGTCTGACCTGCAGCACACACGACGATGGAGATGGAGACATTCAGCCAATGAGTTTTAGGTAAAAATCTACGATGCTGATGCTGACAGAGAGGCATTAATGCATTAATTGCGTGTCACGTGATGTTTTCAGACTGAAGACGTGAAGGTGCAGCATCCTGGGTGTGCCACAGAGGAGGGCTGGTTGGTGTCAGTGTTTAGGCTGGAGCGGTCAGAGACCGGATTAAAGTGGAGTTTAAATGAAGCTCCAAGAAAAGTAAAAACAAACAGATTTCATCATAACACTTCTGACTGAAAACACTCTGATTGGTCCTTTATTCCTGAGTCCACACTCTGAGCTTTGGCTCCACAGCTTCATTTATTCCTCTGCATGAGGTTTACACCCTAGGTCTCCATATCCCTGTACCTGAGCACATGGCCCACACCTCCTCAGAAAGGTCACTAACACGTGGACAACTCTGGGGCTGGTGCTGCAGCTGTAGCAGTGAGTCTGTCCTCCTCTAAATGTGACACATCGACTCTCCTGTATATCACCCCTCTGTTATGTTCAGACACAGCTCAGGTTGGTGACCCTGAATTACTGTCAGGGGCAACGCAGAAACCCATCAGTCACTGTCTGGCATGATTTAGCCTCTTGGGTTAATGACCAACATTTCAGAGCCTCCTGCAAAACCTGCAGACACTGCAGGACTGATGCTGAAGTCAGAGACATCCCGTCCTCTCTGCTTTCTGTGCTTGAAGGTCTGAAGAACAACTGCAGACTGGAAATCAGAATCAGAGATGATCATAGACTTCTGCAGCTGCTCTCATACAAATATCTACTGTGTAAAGTCATGAGACCACAGCTGATGGATAATGAGTTGGTGTCTGAGTTCCCTTACTATTTGCTCAATTCGTGGTAACCATGATGACCAGGTCTGTCTGTCGGACACTACTGTTGATGGACACAATTTCAACAATCTGGACGCTAAAAACTCAGTTACCTCTTTCTGGAGTTTAGTTGAAAGCCTTTCAGTCCCGCGGGCACTGGTAAACTGGTCTGGATACAGAGCGGATCTGCAGTTTGTCTCATGAAGAAGACATGAAGCTAACTTGAACTTGTGGCCCGCCCTCCACAGCTGGGTGTCTTTCTTAAGTAGCTTCATCCAGAACCAGCCTGTTCTTTTACTTTCTGTCAGCTATCTGACCTCTTGACACACACCCATCATAATCCAGTCATAGCCTGCAGATAAACTGGTGAAACTCCAGTTTAAACTCCACATTATGTAAGGAGACTGGTTTTGTAAGCAGAGTGTTGAATGGTCTGAGTCTGCAGGGTGAGTGGGAGCATGAAATGAATGGCTTACATAAAGATTTATTCATACGTGCACCGACACAACCTGCTCCAGTTCCTGTGCGTAGGAGAGACTCTGCTGTGTGTGTGTGTGTGTGTGTGTGTGTGTGTGTGTGTGTGTGTGTGTGTGTGTGTGTGTGTGTGTGTGTGTGTGTGTGTGTGTGTGTGTATACACATGTGAACTAGCAGAGGGGGGCATACAGAGACACCAAAGTTGTAGGTAGGTCAGAACAGGCTGGTTGAAATGGTAAAAATAGTGAGACTCGCTGTCAGAGTGATTTGTCAGATCTCTTTAAATAAGCAGAGTTATTTAACAGAGCGAGCAGAGATCATCTCAGCTTCTATACACACTTACAGAGATTGAGATCAGGCTTTAAACCCACTGCAGGCTTTTCTTAGAGGATCAGCGCTGACCTAAAGTTTCTGCTCTGAGTCCAGACTGAATAAACTCTGATATGAAACGTCCAGTCACAGGTAAACAGATCTTTGCTCAGAGGTGACTGTGTCGCAGCATAAACAGGATCCTGCTGCCTATACTGCATGTAGGGGGTGTCTGAGCTGTTGTGCAGTGACTGAAAACAGGAGCTTGTTTGTTACCTACAGGTTTGCGGTCACATTGAAAACATGAATGAGTTTCTGAGAAGTCTCCAAGTCAATGCAATTTCCAGCTACTAGACCTTACTTTTCACTAACATCCAGTGATTGCTGCAGAAAATCAATTTTTCTCTGTATTTTATTTCTCTTCTCTAATATTGAAGCAGCTGTCACTTTAAATGTTCCCTCCTTCCGCAAAAGGCTGGAAGTGGTCCCCAGCGCCGAGGCAACCAGCATCCAATCAAAGGTGCGCACTGAACGCTCCCACTTCCGGAGTTTGTTTGTTTGCAGAAGCAAATACGACTAACTTGCAAGCAGCATGGTCCTATTGGATTACTACGGTTACAATGCAGAGTGCAAATCGCTGTGCGGCAACACAGCAAGCAAATGTAGTCTACATACATTGCAGGGGTAAAAAAGTTTGCGTACCGCTGCGTACCAACTTCCTTTCACCCCTGTTTAACGGCAATGCCAATATAATATACGGAAGCTTTTCCAGGTCTCAGAGGACTTGGCATGGAGGGGAATGATCTTTCAAGTTTTCCTTCGTACCTGCCCAGTGCTTCCTCTTTTTACAGGGAGGTGTCATGCCTTCACTGTAAGGACAGGACAGTGAAACTCCAGAAGAGTGCATATGATGTCGCATTCAACAGGGATCCCTGCATCTCAGAATAATATTGTCACTGATTGGATATTTTGTACATATATCCCTGCATGTTTGTTAATGTGTCACCCTGTCAAATAGTGATCTCTGTATCTGACAGAATAACCTTTCTGAAGCGGACTCCTCTCAGTCACAGTTTCAGACCACACTGACGCAGCTTTGATCTGCATAAAACATCTGAAAGTGCAACCACTGCTTCAGCTTCATTACACGCCAACACACCGCTTAGAGCGGCTTTAAATTACAGGCTTAAAACAAAATCATGAAAGGGTACTAATCCAATTAAATATTGATTTATTTATAATAATAATCTAAAATTATATTATGATTACAACTAACTTTTAAAATTCTACAACCATTTAGACCTTAACCAAGAAGTGTACTAACACTTACAACCCTGCTTTTAACACACCTCTGTTAGTCTGACTTTCTGAATCGTCAGCTGCTGCCGTTTGTAGACAGACTGCCACATCAAAAGCCACATTTTCAACTAAGTACGAAAAATATAAAAAAGCATGTTTGCAGCCTTAACTTTTTTTCAGGTCTGTATGGATGCTCCTCTGAAACAGCTGCTTCTCTTGAAGGCCAACTCTCAGTGAATCTGAACGATTTCATTAGAATTTCTTTAAACATTTCGTACTCAGCAGTATAAACAAGGTGGTGCACAATAATGTAGAAGAGACTGAGTAGAGCTGAGGTGCATGCAGGTACGTGCAAACACACTCCAACATGAACACAAATAACCCCAAACCCTGCAGCTATGAGCTCTGTGTGGGCTTCAACCATGCAGCCAGAACAGCAGGCTGAAGGAGTGTGTGTCTGTGTGTGTGGAGCTCTATAACGTGTGTGGGAGGATGTTCAATATGAGGGCTGAAGTAACACACTCACACACACACGTACACACACACACAGCCTTCTCTCTCTCTCTCTTTTTTACTTCATCTCTCCTCATCAGGATGGCGATCAGGAATAATGTCACCACAAAATCAAGAGTTTTGCAGATCTCCTTCCTCTCTGTCCCTGTGCTTGTTTGTGTGTGTATTTCACCTCTGTGCATCACCACGGTAATTGATTTGTAAAGATACAGACACAAGCAGTCGACAAATAAACATAGATGATAACTTGTCTTATATTACTTAAGGATACCTGCAGACTGAAGATGCAACAAAGCAGAGATTCAGAGGAGGAACAAGTAAACAGGAAGGTAAGGATGCTACAAGAAAGAAATAAGGGCATATGAGGAGACAAGGATGCTGCAGAGTGGAGTAGGACAGGAGGTGATAGAGCAGGAGGAAGTGGGTGAAGTAAAAATAACACACTGAGGGAGTCAGCATGCAGGGATGCAGTAAAATCAGAGGGAGCAAGGACACAAAGGAAGGACACAATGAGAAAGAAAAAGGAGAAGAAGCAAGTGCATAAAAGGGGACATGATGTCCAAAATATTCTGCACCTGAGGAGCGATTACTGGAGGAAAAAATGTGACATACACGAGCAAAACAAGTGTGCAAGGGATCATGGAGCAAGGAGAGGTAACAAGGATGCAGATGAGGGGACAAAGAAGGAAGTAAGGATAGATATAGTTAAAGAGAGAGAAGAAAGAGTTAGAAGGATAATGATAATAAACCAAAGGTAACAAAATCTAAGTGAGTCAGTGATTTAAGAACACAAACTAGGACATGAGGAAACAACACAGACACTGACTGACTTTTAACCGATCAGCATCCAGGAGAGATGATGAATAGAAAATACAAGGAAACAAGTACACACATCAAAACCCCACAAAGTGCAGCTATACCATAACCCAACAAAGAAATTAGCAAAGTAATCAAGGAAATGAGGATACAAAGAGAGGAGACAACAGGCAATTTCTGAGGACACAAAAGACCAAGGACATAAGGACATAAATAAGGGAACAAGGCCAAAGAATTATAGACAACACGAAGAAGGATGAGTATATAGGACAAAAGACTAGGAGCAAAACCAGGAAAAACATAAAGAGCGAGAGGAAGAGCGAGGAGATTCTGAAGCCACAAACTCTCAGACTGACCAACCTGGTCTATGGTTTACAGGTCTACAGGTCTACAGGTTACAGGTCTGAGGTTTACAGGTCTGCAGGTCTACAGGTCTACAGGTAAGAAAACACATGTAAAAAAACTTAGCTGGGCTCAAACTGAGAACTAAGAAGAACAGAGAAATATATAAGAGACTGTTTTAGGGGGATACTGCTGATACAAAGTACACACCGGTACACAGTACACACACAGACACAGACACAGTAACACACAAACACACACTCCGGCTAGTTCATATTTCTGAGGTTGAGGAGTTAGCTGCAGCTTCTGTGGTCAGACGGTGTGTAAATTATTCAAACATGTTACTAATGGTTTCCATTCAGTGATTAACCACTACACACACACACACACACACACACACACACACACACACACACACACACACACACACACACACACACACACACACACACACACACACACACACACACACACACACACACAAAGAGAGAGAGGCGATTAGGGGCGACTGGCACTGTGTTTGTATTTTGGCTCTTCTCTGTTTGGCCCCAACTGGACCAGAAAAGCACGCGCACACACATTTCTACAGTAACTTCTGTTCAGGTAAAACAAAGGAAGTATTTTAATGGAGGTGTGTGTGTGTGTGTTTGTGTGTACTCCTGTGTGTGTACTCTGGGATTTGCTCCATCTAATGGCATAATAATCAGCAGCTCTCCTGCCTCTGCTGTCTGTAGTTTGGCTCTTTCTCTCTTTCTCTCTCCGATTTTATACCTGCTCCCCTTTATTATCTTAATTTAGATGTTTCTCATATTTCACATTCATTATTTAATTACCCTGTTTTTTACAGTCCTTTAATATTTCAAATATGGCTGTCAGCAATCTTGTTAATGCTCTTTGCTGTGAATCCTTCATACTTTTTACTCTACTACCTAATTTCTTCTTTTATTTCTTTGGTTCTCAAAGTTACAGATATTTAAATTGGAGTTGCTGAAAAATGCACAAATGCTCGACATGGTTCTGAAAGTATCAGTTTCAAGCTTACAGATTTGCACACATTTCAGTTATTACCTACGGAGCAACAGACGGCTATTAGACATCTATTTTTCTCTTGACCTAATTTCAACCATCTAGATTCTGTAGACTGAATTTAGATGTTGCACTTATTTCAAAAAGCAACTGTGAGTTGCATAATTGATCTCCAAGTACTTAACCAAAATAATTATGAAAGCCGTTGAGCAATATACAGTGTAGTATAGATAAAGCCCAGATTTAGATGTAGTCTAAACTTGGTCTATGTTTAGACGTCTAAAAAACTTTGATTTTTAGCCCTGTGGTAGCCTGATTTTAGACCAGTTGTCTAGGTTACATTGAGACTTCTATTAACCCTTTTTGAGACCAAAAAATGCTTGGTGGGTAATCTGCATAAAAGTTGATATTTTTACTAGTTAGGATAAACGACTAAAAGTAGTCAGTATAGAGAGTGTCAGAGTGTCTTTGCTGTACTTGACATGCTGTGATTAAAACGTCTTCAACTCTGGAGGTGTCTTTGTCATGTTAATCTTGAATTGAGGGATTTATTGACAGGATAAATAAACAGACAGAGAAAAAACTATTCACATGAACTTCAACCAATGAAATGTGGATTCAAGACCTGAACCTGTCAGCTGAACGTATCTGTGCAGTTTACAGTCTGCGTTTATAATCTGAGTTTATATTCTGAGTCTGACGCAGAGGACAGCTGGTGTGTTTGGGAGTTTTTGGGTGAAAACAAAACCAAAAAGGGGGGTTGAAAGCCAGTGGGCTGACTGCAGGACTCTGCAAAGTTAAATTTAAAGACTTTAAAACCTCCTCAGTGTCAGTCCAAATAAAAGCCAGAGCCAGCTTCACCCCCCGCTGAGAGTTTTATGCATAAAAATACACTTGCTCAGCAGTCAGACTACAATACCTGCTTTCTTACACCAGGTCGGGTTCAGGTTTAATGCAGCTCAGTGTCTGTAATCAGAAAGTTCTGTGTGAAAAATGTAGAGGGCCCACATCTGAGAGTTAATTGCAAACAACAGCTTGTTTCTGCAGCAGCAAACCCTCATCCCCTTGAGCAAGGCACCTCAACTGCAGCTGCTGCAGCAGGAGTCTGCGGTTAAACCAGGAAGCTCCTGGCTTGACACTGCGTTAAGACTGACTTTTACATAAGAGGGACACATGTGGATTCAGCTCCTGATCCAGCTCCTCAGAGGAATCTCAGTGTTTAGATGCCAGCGGTGACTCACTGCTCACCGACGTGCGGGAGTCAGAGTTTAGATTCAGGTGTCCATCTGGAGCCAATCAGGAAGAAAACACCTTCGGCCCGTCTGCTCCAGCACTATTTCTGTTCCTGCAGCTTCCTACATTTCCCAGAGAGCTCTCTGACGGCCTGGAAAGACAGATCCTGTCACCTCAGGGTTATGTGTGGAGGTGGACAGAGAGTGTTTCCATTTAAAACAGAGAGAGGCTTGCTCATAACCTGTCCTCTAGTTTACTGCTGCTTCAGATTCGCCTCTATTTTCTGCTTCTGTGGGTGCAAAAATCTGCCTCTCTGCACACTTTACTAAAATTTTTTTTTAACCCATGTCAGACAGCAGAGTGAGAAAGACAGCAGCTCTGCACAAGATACCAGGTTACAGGAGAGAAGTTCAAATCTACCATCTTCCATCTTCAAATCTACCATCTTCCTCTCATTTCAAGCAATGAGACCTTAAATTTTACAGTGTGCACTTTAGGTCACAGTCAAATATCACACAAATACAGATCTGCACCTTCATTCACCCTGGCCATCTTTACATTCCTCACCTGAGGAATATGGGAATATGTTTGAAGATGCAGAATTGTTATTACTGTGATGATATCTGATCACAGAAACATTTACTACAGTACCAACATTTGAACCCAAACTATTATTTGAGAGGAATCATCTGGTTAGTGCTCAGCTTTGATATCTGATCCTTTAGAAAAAAAATTTGAAGGATCAACTCCGATGAAAATCATGTTTTTCTTGTTTTTTACATGTTCATATGACATTTTTCTGATGCTGCAGGACACTACGTGGGAAAAATAAGTACGCAATTGCATTCAAACCACTGTGAATCTCTGGCAGACCCAAATGGCAGGTTCATAAACAGTGAAATTTCCTACGTAGCAAAAGCATAGACTGTATATAAGATGGACAACCTGGTTCCGCCTTCCGCCTGTATACGGATTTGAAGCCAAAAACCTCTCGGTAATTCCGGGTTTTTCTCCACTTCCTTGAAACCAGAGCTGTGCAGTAGCGTTGTGCGCATTCGGCCGCGCAGTCGCCGAGAGTCCCTGTGATGACGCTCGGCTCAAACAGCGTATCCCCCCCGGGGGAGCTACGCAATCCCTGAACGCCCATAGGCTGTATCAGGTGTCAATCATAGAAAACATGAACCCCCTAATAACTTTTAAAAATGGAGCTGTACAGAAAAAAAAGGACTTGGGCACAAACCAGTCTTACAGTGACTACATGTCAACATCACAAGCAGGGGGGCGAAAAAATTTATGTTCTGTGTAATAAATTTTTAAAGTTTGTCCACAGCTTCATAAGCTTTGCTGGCGGAGGCGGGATTTATGACCTGTACTGCAGCCCACCATCAGAGGGTGCTGTTCTCGGAGTGGCTTCACCCAGCGAGGAGGCAGACTCTGTCCATCTTATATACAGTCTATGAGCAAAAGCAAGCTCCGCCCCAAGAGCCCCGCTACGCAAGTCACACTTGGAGAAATAGAGAGGACGATGGCAGAACAAGTGTGTGCAGTAGCGGATTCCAATGCTCGTAAGAGTTTATTATGATATTAGCTGTCATCGTGTCCCTAAAGAAATTAGTGTCCAAGAGCTGAATAGCTCCTATGTAACCTGCTACTTCCACTACATCGTCAATGCTAGGCTGCAAGCTAAAATCAAGATGAGTATGCAGAGCAGCGCTGTCTCTGCCAACGACTCAGAGGCGAATTGCTATTAAGCTGCTGGATCTCTGCAGAGACAAAGTCCTTGAAAATGACACAGGTAATGTGATTTTGGCTAAAAACTTCATAATCACCATTTAAAGACAACTGATAACACTTTAAGTAGTAAAAAAAGAAACGATCAGGGTAGGACTTTAAGGTTAAAAATCGGTAGTTGTTCCTCGTCCAAACACTCGTCTGATGAATCAGTGTAGGAGTTACTGCAGGATCCACTTCAACACCATAACCTTAGACTTTACAGGTAATTCAGTCATTGAAATCACAGTGATTTCATTCTCTGCTGCAGCCCATGATGGGCTCAGTGCTGCATAATAAAGTGAGACTACACCAGTTGTGTGAGATTAGACCCTGATCAAGCAGATGTAGGGTTTCAGGACCCATCAGCCTCAACAACTGTTGTAATATCCTGTGTAGAATATGATCAGAGTTACATCAGGACACCTCATGACTCTTACAGAGAGCCAAGCACGTTTAAATTTTGTTTATGCCCCACTACTTCAGGGACATCGATGAATCGGAGCACTGAGCCACCTGCAGGTGCAAGAGTGCAACCACACACAATGTCAAAGGTGAAGCAGGATGATGGTGGGATGCAAGTATGAGATGTGTTATGTGCAAACAAAACAAAAGACCTCCTGGAGAAAGTTCCTGGAGTTTATGGCATCATCACAGTTTGAAGCTCATTGTTCCATCAGTGCCCACCCCTGAAACAAAACTACAGGTGTGCTGCATCATTCAGTTTCTGCCGAAGTTTAAACTGCTCCACAGAAAAGACAGTCGATCTTGTCAGCTTAATGCAGCACTTATGCTGTTGCAAAGCTGCAAGCCCGCCTATTAACCCAGTTAGCGCTCACTTCAGCACTGAGCTTCCTGCACCAAACAATTCACCATCGTGCACAAAACACAAGGCTACTCAGACTGTTCCAGGTCTGAACATGACCTTAGATAAAAGCAGTAAAATATGCTCATCAGATATTTGGTGAGTTGATGAAGGGAGGAAGAGGAAGTGGAGGCAGAATGACAGAATCTCCAAAAATGAGTTTAAGTGAATCTTGAGAGAGATTAGAGAGAAATGAATGAACTTCATCTGAACCACAACGCATAAACACACAGACACAAAGACTAACATAAACACACATATACACACACACTGCAGACAGCCTGTAGACAGTGATTTGCAGCAGGTAGGAAGTCAATTATGCCTCTAGATATTTCTGTCAGAAAACCTCTGTGTGTGTGTGTGTGTGTGTGTGTGTGTGTGTGTGTGTGTGTGTGTGTGTGTGTGTGAGAGAGAGAGAGAGAGAGAGAGAGAGAGAGAGAGAGAGAGAGTGTGTGTGTTTGTGCCCTGAATGTGTGTGTGTGTGTGTGTGTGTGTGTGTGTGTGTGTGTGTGTGTGTGTGTGTGGGAGGTGGCAGCACAGGCAGCTTTGCAGAGACAGGATGAGGGTGTGTGTGTGTGTGTGTGTGTGTGTGTGTGTGTGTGTGCGTGTGTGTGTGTGTGTAGGAGGAGGAAGTGTTCACTGTGCCAAGGTTACAGTGCTGCTTGTGCTGCTGCTGAATTGCTGTTATAAAAGCTGGAGTTACACAACGGAAACACTCAAACTGAGCGCGCTCAGTGACGAGGAGAGGTCTAACTTTATCACCTGAAGCTCCACATCAACAAGGACTCTTCACTCTGCTGAACATGCAGCTGCAGAAGGAACTTCATAGAGAAGCACAGCCTGTTCTGCTCTGTCCTGTTCAGTTTAGTTTAGTTAAGGAGAACCATGAAAATACTGCTACGGTTGGACTGCAGGATGTTTTTACATTTTAGAAAATAAGCGTGTTTGAAGACGTCCCTGCTGGAGCGAGTGTGCCGCAGCCTCTCTAACGCCTGTTGACAGATCTGTGCAGTTTTCAGGACATGCAGCTGTGATAAGGAGAAGACTGCTCAGTCTCAGTTAGTTTATGTCCATGCACAGATCACAGGAGCTGAACCTAAAGACTCTCCCTGTACCAGTTTACAAGCACTGAGCAAGAATCCATGTAATGACAAGAGTGTGCCCATGACAGCGACCTGATACTACAGGGCGCTGTCAAAACAACCAACAAAACCATCAGCATGATGAGTTTAATCTTCAGGGTCTGAGGGCGGACTCTGAGTCCAGGATGGGTGTCTTTGTTTTCTTTGTTGTTTTTCAGTATGAATTAGGGCTGGGCGACATGGCCTCAAATCAATATCACGATATATTGTGCAGTTCACCTCAATAACGATAAATGGACAATTACTACTCCTGAACCGTCCTCCATCTCCTCACCTGTCTTTCCCTCTTTGTCACGGACTGGATGGGGTGGAGTCACGTCTCTGACGTAGGACAGCGTCTTAAAGAGACATGAGACCATAGCCTACCTACACACATCCAAAACTAACTTTTATTTATATAATTTTTTGACACTGAATATATTGACATGGGCAAAATGATGTTGGTTATTGTGGTAAATTTCGGTTTATCGCCCAGCCCTAGTATGGATGAAATTAATGCTCTAAAACCACCAAAAAAGAGTTTCTACCTGCTCAAGGTGAGCACCTCTGAGATGTCTTCCAGTTTGGCCAAAGAGTGTTTGAACCAGAGGACACATTTCCACCAAAAGTACAAGGAACTTTTAGCTCTTTGAGTTTCTCTCCAAATAACAGACACCTACTATAATTCACCTCATAATTGGGGTCGGTATGTAGCCTCTACTAGACTGCCCCAGTGTAAATAAAGCACCCGCTTTAACATAAACATATAGTATCCAGAGAAGACTAACCTACAAAGCTATTATATTACCTGAAAGCCTCCCCTGATGTGGAAAAATGTGCATGAAACAGTCCCCCAAATACCAAATCTCAAAGGACAGGATCACTTGCTTCACAGGGGGCGCCAGACTCAACACCAACTCAGAGCTCCTTACAGAGGAGTAAATCAAGTCTTCAATTCATCCATTAGGTCATAATTTCAGGCCAGAGCTGTAGAACATTTATGACAAGAGCTGCTAACTGCACCACAGACACACACATAGAGACACACACACTGTGGTTTACATGGAAACATGATGTGACACAACATCAATTCAGTCCGTTAAAGAATTCCATGTTCTGTCTGCTCACATGCACATAAACACACACGCACACAACAAACACGCACAGACACACACACACACACACACACACACACACACACGTGTACGTACGGCGGTTCTCCCACAGCTGTGGCTGTTTGACCAACATGTTTCCATTTAGCAGAGAAAGCAGAAAGAGACAGAGGAAAAGATGGAGAGAGAGAAAGAGGGGTGCAGAGTAGAGGAGGGGGTGAGTGGGTGAGGAGGGGGTGAGGAGGGGAAAACAGGCGTCCTGTTGGTGTAAATTGCGAGTGGAAAAGAGAGGGCTGCAGTCATATTTTCCATGGGGCTGCTGGGCCAGCCTTGAAACTATTACTGAGTTAGCCCTGCATGCGTGTGTGTATGTGTATGCACGTGTGTGCGTGCACATGTGGCTTCATTACATTTTCCACAACAGTTTGCAGAAATCCAGCAGGAAGCGAGATGGACAGGGGAAGGAGAGCGGGGTTAGCGCTGCGGAGGGACGCTCTTTTTTACTGCAGGGTTTATAGTTTGTTAAAAGTTCCCTGAGATCCAGAAAGAACCAATTAGATCCTCCAGGAACCTCTAGGGTTATATAACGCCAGGACAGGCCTGTTTGATGTGCTGTCACTGAGCTCGGAGAGGAAGCATGCAGGGTTTTCCTCCATCCTCTCAGATGGTCTCACAGGCTGCAGTGAAGACTCACCTCTCTGTGATCAGATTAGACCTGATCAGTGATTAGACTGAAATATGAGAGACAGACAGAGGGCTTCATTTCCTTTTAGGGGATCCAGAAGATCTTATCCACACAGATCCAAGCATGTTTCAGAGAGAACCTCACTTGGTTTAATGCACATCCTTCAGCTCTGATCAAGACTTGAGGAATTCAACAGTTTATGAAGATTGTTACTCTCTGCCTGACACTTTAAGTCCTGCAGCTTCACCCACAAAGTGATCGCTAGCTGCGTTTACATGGGCACAAATAATTGGAATGACTGCTCGATCGGAATAAGAATGCGTCATGTAAACATGTCGCTCGGAAGATTCTGATCCAATTCGGCTCAATGGGAAACAGGTTCCGATCGAGAGAGGTGGTTTATGCCGATTGTTATTCCGAAACGCATCCATGTAAACACTTATTCCGATCGTGACTCTCTTACCTGACTCGATCTTCACACTTTAGCCTTTAACTTATTTATTGAGGTCAGTACAGAAGGTTTCATTATTAACACTCTGGCATAAAACACAACCACAGGTGCCGTGTCTGCTCCTCCGCTAACATAACAAGGCGTACATACTGCGTAATGATGTCACATCTGCACGCACAGAATAACCTTTGACAGAACAGTAAAATAAGTAAACAAGAGCGCCATCTAGTGACAACATTTAACAAGAAGAAAACTCCTGAATTGGATGGAGTGAGCCACTACCGTGTTTGTTGGTTTGTTGACAGCACAGGCGTAAATACAAAACTCTTCTTCTGTGGTTGTTTTAGCAAAATCAGACAACTCTGTGCATGTCCAAATGCTTCTAATCTGAATAAAGCTTGACGCATGTATACGTACGTCGTGATCCATATAAACAGTGGATTCAGATTATGCGATCCCTCAAATTTTTAATCGGATCGAGAAATTTTGCCCATGTAAACGCAGCTACTGTCAGCCTTTAGACTCTAACCCTGAGCAGGTATCTGCAGCTCAGTCTGGGCTGGTTCTCACATAGACCTGTCTGAGTTTGGCAGCAACACAAAGTTTCAACAACCAAACAGACGACTCACAAGGAAGGGCCAAAAAGACTGTGATAGAGGTCAGCATGAAGACGGCCTTGTTTACAGACTAATAACGATTTGAAAGACTTTCAGGTTCAAATCAGTCTATAGACTATTTCAGGTGAAAAAAACAGAAATATTTCATTTCAGCTCAGCTCAGACTTCGGGAAAAACAAACTGCACAAATGAAGGTTGGAAAGTTTTCTCGTCAGGGTTAAAGGAAGAGAAACTATCCCACTGTTTCACCCAGAATGACTTTAAAAATGAAAATAAACTGATAACTAAGCCTGTGTGTACTCAAAGATGAAGCAGGATCTGTTTCTGTAGGAAAACCTCCAGCTGGATCTGCTCCTTAGAGACAAACTGTCCCTGATCAAACCCAGAGTGACAGCCTTTGGAAACCTTGGTCCTCCATCAGACAGACCTTCACTGCTATAGATCTAAGAACGACAGTTTAGTTTATCTGCATTCAGAACAAGCTGCTGGTCACAAAGCTGATCTGTTACTGAATCAAAGGAGGTGATCAGCTTCAAGGACAGAGTCGTCTGCATCGTGGTGAAAAGTATCTGTGTCTATGCAATACAAACAAAGAGCTGAAGACATCCAAATATTAACACAAATACAGTTTTTACAAATCTCTGTCTGTTTTTAATGACCCTCAATCTGTTTCCATGGAGACCACGAACACAGAGGAAAGATATGTTGAAAGAGATCCACAGAGTCGTGATTTTTTACAGCCATGACTTCAGGTTTTTACCTGTGAAGGTTTTCTGGGTTCAGGTTTGATTGTATGAGACATTTTAGAGAAAAACTTGAATAAAACAGAGAGAGTTTAATCTGAACCTGAGGGAATCAAATACTCACAAAATAAATGAATGAATACGTGAAATTAACAGTTCATGAGCATAACAAACCAAGTTTCATTATGACCACACAGTGCCAAAATATGCAAAGAGGTCTGAAAGGGGTCGTGTAAGGGTTCATGCAGCACATCCAAACATCTCTAAGTGAAGAGTAGATTATCATTTATTAAACCAGGCTAACAGTGAAGCCAAACATGCAGGACTGAGAGGGCTGCAGCAGACAGCATGAGACTGAATCATTTTAAAGCTCTACAGCTTCATGGAAACGCAGAATTTGAACCCTGAAGAGCTCCAGACCATTGTTTTATTTTAAGGAATTCTCCTTCTGGCATTTCCTTTCTCCATATTTATCTCCTGGTGAACCTCTGGGCCCGCCTCAAAAGAGGAAGAAACTCTTTTCCAGGAAGTCAAAGCTTCCAATTCACTTCGTCTTTTAGGATCTGAGCCTCATTTAGATCCTGGTCTGACCTCTAACAGAGACTGTGTCAGTGTGTCAGGATGAAAAATATTCAGGAACTCACTAGATCCTCTTTACCCTGAGCTGACCCCTCAGACTGACCTTAGACCGACCAGCTTGTTCCTCCTGATTGAGGCTGCAGACACCTCTGTAACACCTGCACACGTACATCAGCAGCTCCTCCTCTTGCTTTTCTCTGAGGCTGCAGAGATGTTACTCAGCTACAAAAACTTCTGGAGACTTGCAGACACCTCTGAAACATCACTGTTAACCTGAAAACACCCCTGACACACATCTGAAACATTTCTGCAGACCTGCACCCCCTGATGCATCAGCAGCTCCTCCTCATGTGTTTCTTTGTGAAACAGTGAGTGATCTGTCATCTGTCTCCTTTCCTTACCTCCCCTGTTTCTTCATCAGTTATATCCTCCTCCTCCTCTTTGTCCTAGCTTCCTCTTCTTTCTCTCCTTGTTTCATTTCCTACTCTCTCACTCCTTTTTTTCTTTCCTACACTCTACCTTGATTCCTTTTTCTTTCCCTTTCCTTCCTTACTTTAGTGTCAGTGTCCCTCCTGTCCTTGATTCCTCCTTTAGTTCCCTTCAGTCTCTCTCTTCTTTCTGGTTATTGTTTCTTTTTGTATCATCCTTTGTATGTTTCCTTCTGTCCTTGTTTCCTTTCCTTACCCTCTTTCCCTCCTTCTCTTTAAAGCACTCTTGTCTCTACTGTCTTAAAATCCTTCCCTTCTTCCTCCTCTTCTTCCCCCTCTCTTCCTCTCCCCTCTGTATTTTGATCTGAAAGCCTCGGGGCGGCTCTATCCGCTTTGTAATCCTACGTTAGTTTTCCTCTGCAGACGCCGTCCCGGTCGTCCTGGAGGCTTTTTCACACGGTTGCATCAGAAATCTGCGATCGGCAGCTTGACAACAGCCCCAGTAATAGAAGTCCACATTAGAGAGGAGGATAATAACCCAAACTTTCGCTTTCACTCACTACAGGATACAGTTAGTGTGAGCTGACTGTGTTTATGGAGGCCAGGCTGAACCTGTGTAATGTGCCCATGATGGAGGGTCATAAAGGAGACCTTATGAAAGCTCTTTGGTCAGTGAGGTTGTATGTGAATAATAATAAACTTTATGTATAATAACAATAATAATAATAATAATAATGATAATAATAATAATAACAATAACAATAATAATAATAATAATAATAATAATAATAATAATAAGAATAAGAATAAGAATAATGATAATAATAATAATAATGGTTGTAACAATAATGATGATGATAATAACTGTTGTAACGACTGTTGTGAATTGGTGCTATATAAATTAAATTTGATTGATTGATAATAATAATAATAGTTATAATAATAATAATAATAACAACAATAATAAAAATGGCAATAATAATAATAATAATAATAATAAAAACAATAGTGATTCTTTAAATTTCTTGATCTGCTGCGGTTTGTATTGTAATCAGAAAAACAGCCTCAGTGTTTCTGTGATCCCAAAGGTGTCAGAGCGTCTCCTCCTCCATGTTGATGAGTTTCCTCCATGGTGTGAAATGACTGAAAATACAAACTCTAAGTATTGACTCTGTAAACCTTCTGGATGTACTGCAGTGATAATGAGCCGGCGTGGTGGCAGAGCGAGGATGAGGCAGGGGGACTAAAAATGGATTTCTGGGAGATTAGAGAGATTTTCTTGGAGACATCAGCCATCACTGTCACTCTCTCAGTTCAGGATGCAGCTGCCAGATCCTCCGCTCTGACAGAATTCTGGATGTTTACAGAGGAATACAACTCCAGACGATCCCAGGGCTGTTATTGGCTGAATTAAAGCAAGGCAAAAGGGTTGCAGAAGAAGTCCTGCAGCAGGATTGAAACCAACATCTAAGAGAGTCTGCTCAATCCACCAACAAGCAACCTACAACAAGCCCCGCCCCTTTACAATAAATTATACATACCGACAACTTACAACAAGCCCTGCCCCTTTACAATAAACTATACATACCGACAACCTGCAACAAGCCCCGCCCCTTTACAATAAATTATATATACCGACAACTTACAACAAGCCCCGCCCCTTTACAATAAATTATACATACCGACAACCTGCAACAAGCTCCGCCCCTTATCATAATATAGACGTACATATGTGTGTGTGCTGCTTATTCTTGACACAACAGGGGTGGCTGGTTGAATGACTACTGTCCCCAACACCCACTACTCACTCACACACACACACACATACACACACACACACACACACACACACGCACACACACATACACATGCACAGCAGTGCTGACTGTCCTCCCACACACAGCTAATCTCTGTCCCCTCACATCCGCAGAGCAGCAGGTATGTAGGAGGTGTGTGGTCTGAGTGTGTGTTTCTGTGAGCACGCGTGTGTGTGTATATGTGTGTGTGTGTGTGTGTGTGTGTGTTGAGCAGGATGACTAACAGAGTTAAAGCTGAACTCTCAGCCTCACAGATGGATCTGTTAGAAAAACTAAATGTTTAAAAATCAGAAAATTTGACTAAATTCTACCTCACATTCTCCAAAAGCCTCATCCTTCAATGAGGTAACATGAGCGTGTTAAGTGTGAGTGTGTTTATAAATGTGTGTATAAATAAATGTATACGTGTGTGTACGTGTGTCTTGTTACTGTACACCTGCACATGAACTGTGCCCCCTCATCCATTTCCTGCTGCAGTCTCTGTCTCTCATTTGCATCCTGCTTCCTGTCTCTCTTTATTTCAGACTTCATTTGCATCCTGTGCTCAGTGAGCATCACGCGGCAGAGCAAACAGAGAAACACTCAGAGTCAGGAGAAGCTAGAAACCCTGGACCAAACCCTCTGCAGACACCCCCCACTCACTACTGAGCTGTAACGGTACAGAGACTTGAGCTCAGTTTCTTTTCATTCTCTGTACCTCTGTAAATTAGGACCTTAAATGGAGCTTCATTATTTATTAATGAACTTTTCCAGGTTGATGAGAGTTCGGCATAGACAGCCTGCTCAGATTTCTGTTTAAAGCATTTTCAATGAAACATAATATTAGAATTAATCTGCAGAAACTCAAAAGAGGGTCTGAAATTAACCCCGGCCAAGCGCTGAGTGAAGACAGGTTTCCTGTAACATTCAGAGATCTGAGTTAATAGACATCACTGCTACTACAGAGACCAAAATCTGCCTATAGAGGCTGTTAGGGTCAGTTACGAATTATTTTATGCAGACCCTCCCAGGGTTAAGGCCCATAATCTGGCCGAGTCAGTCTTCTGAATTATGGGATTGTTCTGTGTGGGTTCCAGGAGACTTCCTATTCACACTGTGAATACAGTAACAGGAGCTGCAGTGATGCTAAATCCACAGTGAGCTCTGACCCTGTTTTTCAGCCATTATCCATCTTCTGATAAGAATCATCCTCACTCACATCTTCATCAAAAGCAAAGCAGATAAACAGCTGATTAAATGATGTTGGTATACTTCTAACAGTATGTTGTTTTTTCGTAAACTGTTGGATCATTAATGTATGACATTTATTATATTATATTATATTATATTATATTATATTATATTATATTATATCATATTATAGTATAGCATAGTATAGCACAGAATAGTATAGCACAGAATAGTATAGTATAGTATAGTATAGTATAGTATAGTATAGTATAGTATAGTATAGTATAGTATAGTATAGTATACATCCATGATCCAAACCTCGAGCTAATACTGGTCATTCACCTTTATTCTGATTATTACAGGAATTAAATCAATAATGACAGATAAAAAAATTAAAATACAAACTTTCATCCATGATACCGCAATTGGACTCAAAAAAGTCCCCAAAACACAAGGTCAAAAAGTTCGCCAACTATCAAGAGTGACCTGAGAGACAACATTTAGCCAAATCCAGTGCCTGAACACAGTTCAGAAATATGAAGGAAGGCTGAACCCTGATCAGATTCAACCCGCTAAAGTTTGGAGAGGACTGACTTCAGGTGCTGAATTAAGAGGTAAAGGTGCTTCTACTGATTTTCAAAGTAAGAAACAGTACCAACCACATAAAGACCAAAAAAACCGTCCTGCTGCAGAAATACTAGAAAACAAGCTGCTAGAGTCAGAAAAGAGAGAGAGAGAGAAAGAGAAAAAGAGAGGGGAGAGTGAGGAAGGTTAGATGTGTTTCATCTTCCAGGAAGCAGAGGAGAAAGTGTTTTATCGGACGTCAGCAATTGAGTTCATATGAACTGATTAAAGATTCATCCTCAGCCAGTAGATGCTGGTCTCTATTAAATCCTGCTCTTTGATTGGTCCAGCTCTGACAGAAATCCATCTCTGGCCTTCTACAGTGACCTGGTCACAGACGCCTGTTGTCCTGAAGTGTTTGGTTCTAACCATTAACATGAGTGATGATCTCTGAGAGTGTTTCTGTGGTTATATAAGTGTTGGAGAGGGTCACTAAGGTTCAGGAAACAGCTCAGACCCTGTCCTTAACAAAGACTCAAACCCTGCTGACAGACTCATCTCATCAGCTCCGTGACCTCCAGGAATACAACACAGGGTTACCATGTTTGACCTGCTCAGACTGCGTCAGCCTGCGTATGATCATGACGCCAAAACACGAGAGAGGAAGAGAGGATCTGGCGGAGAGGTTAGAGAGGAGCGGCTTTTGTTTGGGCATGCGTCAAATACTGTCTGAAACATGAACGTAGAATCAGAGATGATGCTCAACCTCCTTATAAGCAGAACAGATCAGGTTTACCATCCTAGGATGTTCTAACGCTGAAAGAAGAAGAAGAAGAAGAAGAAGAAGAAGAAGAAGAAGAAGAGGAAGAGAAGGAAGAAGAAGAAGAAGAAGAAGAAGAAGAAAAAGAAAAAGAAGAAGAAAAACAACAACAGAAACAAAATCAACAGAAACAACAACAGAATCTACAGAAACAGCAACAAAATCAACAGAATCAACAACAACAGAAACAGCTACAACAGTGACAGCAACAACAACAGTATCAACAGGATCAGTTACAACAACAATAACAGAAACAGCAGCAAATCAACACAAACAATAACAGTATCAACAGAAAGAGTAACAACAACAACAGAAACAACAACAGGTCTGAAAACTTTAGAGAAACTGAGCTCTCTAATACACGACACACAGGATCAGAGTTTAAAGAACCAGGGTGCTGGTCTAACATCAGCAGAACTAGCTCCACCAGACTTCGGTCTCCTTTTAGGTTAACATACTGTACATGTGCAGGTTTAGTCTAGTCCAGTGTTTAGAAACCAGTTTGACCAGTATAGGGTTATAAACATACAGCAGGAGTTTAACCATTTTCAGCTGACGATTTCACTCAAACTACAGACTGGTACAGACCATAGAGGACACCGAACAAGACCATCAATGAGAGAGAGAGAGAGAGCTACACAGAGACCAGGATACACAAACGCCACCTCTTAGATTCACATACACATGCAGACACACATAGTTAGACACACATACACAGTTACACACAAACATTCACACACTCACCCGATGTGACACTGCTCTCATTTACTCCTGCAGTCTTTACTACTGTTGTCTCATGCTCTCTCTCTGTGAGGACACACACACACACACACACACACACACACACACACACACACACACACACACACACACACACACACACACTGAGGTGAAACCATAGGAACAGATGAAGGCTCTGTCAGCTGCACCTGCTCCTCTTCCAAGGTCTGCTCTCCTCCCATCATCCTCTCTGCTTTTGTCTCCTCTCTCACCTTCACTCCTCCTTCCTCTCCTCTTTCTCTCTCACCTCACATCCTCCTTTATGTCCTTTTTTTTCAGACCCCTCACTGCCTTCCTCACCTCTCACCTCCCTTTCCGCCTTACTGACAGTATCAGAGGAGACCTGTTCCTACTGACAGGGGAGGTGTGTTTGATTTGTTCACCTCCATCAGATGGAAGATCTCCATCATTCCCTGCCTGTTGACCCTGTAGTAAAAACATACAAAACTAACAGTCATGACCAGCCTTGATGTTTGGTTAAAGTTGTACCAGTACTGCATTTCAGCTGTTTTTATTCATGGCTCATATTGAGCTGTTTATGCGCCATGAATCGGGATCAGACACACCAAGTTAAAGTAAAACTGAGCTCTTAGTTCAGACATGCAAACAAACAAACAAACAGGAGAAATAAATAAATGGAATTAATTTAAATGTAACTTCCACAGATATAAAGATCTGTCTCTGATTTGATTGATTTTTGGATGTTTTGGATCCAAATGTCTGTTTCTGTCTCTCAGCTCAGTGTTCTGAAGTGATTCTTCTCCTCCCGACCTCAGCTGTCCGAGGAGGAGACGATCACACGACCCGGCCTCTGCACCGGAGAGCACAAAGAGACCACATTCAGCTAACTGTGAGTGTGAGTGTGTGAGAGAGTGAGAGTTTGTGTGTGTGTGTAATTGTTGTGTGGAGCTATTGTTTTCCCCTCCACAGTCTCTCTTTGTCTTTGTGTCTCTTTGACCTCTACCTCCCTTCTGTCTCTCTCTCTCTCTCTCTTTCTCTCTGTCACTCTAACTCTGTTTGTTCTTTATTGAACATTTTCTTTTCCCCTCCCTTCTCTCACCTTTATTCTCTCCTTCCTTCCTGCTTTTTTTCTCATTTCCAACTCCCTCTTCAGCTCTCTTTCTTTTTTTGACTTCTCTCTCTGTCTCTCTCTCTCTCTCGTTGTTTCATTTCTCCTCCTCCTCCTTCTCACCTCTTCCTCTTTTATAATTTTCCACCCATTTTTCTCCTCACTGCGGTAGTAATCATTTCTCACCTTTTCTCCATTTAAAGTTACACTTTCTGTCGTCTGTGCTTTAATTAATCACTGGTCTGGTTAACGAGCTCTCCTCTCGCTCTTAATTAATCAGCTCTCTGCCTTAATGAACAGTCTAAACTCGTTAAACCTGTTTCGCTCTTAATTAGCCGGTTAGCTCGGGGGCCTAGTGCTCCGACAGGACTATTAGGCCTTACTACACTGCTTAATATTTGTGTGTGTGTGTGTGTGTGTGTGTGTGCGCGCGCTGAGATTACCTCACCCTCTAATGGGGCTGCTCAAATATTTATAGGGCAGGAAGCTGAATGGGAAGACTGATAGTGCTCAGAGACAGCCGACTCTAAGGGAGCACATGAAGACTGATGCTGCCTTCGAGTGCCGCTCGTTCACTCCTGCTTCCGACCCAGGAAGTTGTAGAGGGACGGAGAGCCCAAAGGGTCAAGGCTCTCTGTCAGGGGTTGGCTGGACCTGAATGAGCGCTGGTGAGGGTTTTCAAATGAACCCATAAAGACCAAAGGACTGTTAAGACTTTTACAACCTTTACATTTAGATCGATCTGAACTTCAGTGAGTGATTTTAACTTCCTACTTCTGCTCCATCTCAGCTCTAGTAAGTCCACTAGGAGTGGGAGAAAAAATCAATTCACATAATTGTCACAATTGTTTGTTCTACAATTTTTAAATCAATTTGTTTTGTTCAAAAATTGATTTTTTTGTTTAAATTTAACAATAAGGCTGTGTCCGAAATGTATATATAGGCGACCATATGAGCATTAATGCCATTTTGAGGGGTGTCCGAAACCTGAGTGATCAATTCCAATGCCCCATATAGGCGACTCAAAATTTCGCACTGCAAAATGTAGTGACCATCCGATGGTCACTCACCAAGCTCTATTTGCCATTTTCAGCGTAAGTTTTTTATCTTCACTTCACTCGCAAGTTTGGGGAGATATGGTTCCTGGAACAGTCAGTCGACAATCATAATCATTCAACTGTTTCATTAGTGTTAAAAATGCAGACTAAAAAGCAAAAGAATCAACAATATTGTAGAATCATAATTTAAATCAAATAAACATCTAAAAACCATAGAAGAATTGAATCGGATGAAAAGCATATCATCCCAGCCCTACAGTCCACCGTCCTCCGCAGCAGAAACACAAGACTTCTACCTTTAAAGCCACAGTATGATGCATCAATCAGAACAAAAAAGACACTGGCCAAGGTTGAGAGAGCATCAGCAAAAACCTCCCAGGTTACAATACCGAGCAGGTATCATGTGCGTACATATTGGCTGCATCTAATAAAGGGCATAAAAGTCAATATTTGGATCAAAATGATTGATGAAGGACAAAAGCAGAGTAATTTCAGGTTTAATTCATGCTTGACGTAATGGCAGATGCTTTTATTGACTAGGGGTGGGAATCACTAGTGGCCCAACGATACGATATTATCATGATACTTGGGCCACAATACGATATTATTGTGATTTTTAACATTTTGCAATATAGTGAGTATTGGGATACAATATATTGCGATTTATACAATTTCAATTTTGACTGTTTAGCTAATTTAGCATTTGTCTTTCCTTTATGTTTGTCTTATTTACACGATATTTTATGTTCATTTAGCACATCTTGCAAACCTTATATATATTTGTTGCACTAACTTTCTTCTGCTCTTTGATGTCACCTCTGCCAACCTCACTGGACAAACAGGTGATTTTATTTTTCCATTATCATAGATTTGACTTCATATTAACAATTAATTTGAAAAATGGAAACTTGGTAAATGAGACGATACAATATATCACCAGACAAAATATCGTGATACTACACTGTATCGATTTTTTCTCCCACCCCATTATTGCTTTTAATGTTGTAAATTTAAAGCCTGAGGTGGGGGGGGGCATACCCCCCTTCTGTTTTGTGAGCATGCAGTGAAAGAAAAGAGCAACATCTGTGACAATCCTGATAACTTTGGTAAAATCAGACACGGGGTAGAGGAAATGGTGACTGTCACTGATGCTGCATAAAGCGCCACATCATAGAGGTGTTCGAGAAGGAGTCCTCTCAGGGGTTCAGTGCTGCAGTTTGGCTCAGACGAATCCAGTTCTGACTTGTTGTTTCCTCCTCTAGGCAAGTGGAAACCGTCTGCCAACAACGTGAGCTAATTCATCGTGTTTCCATTTCTGTTCACTTGTTTAAAGAGTCTTCTGGAAACAAGCGAGAGGATCTTTAAAAACAACAGGAAGAGACGGCAAGACTGTTACCAGAGGTTCAGAAAATGAAACACGCCGTTATTAAAGTGACAAAGGAAAGAAATGAAATGACCTCATCCTGCAGTCACGGACTCACACTTTACCACCGCACAAACTTGATTAAAGGACACGTTTCAGATGAACACATGAACTGATCCCAAGAGATACAGAACGATGGGCAGAGAATGAAGAGACGGAGGATGACGGCATGTTCATGGAGTCGGGCCGAGGAAAGTTTGTCTGATGACTTCACACAAACAGAGAGAGAGAGAGGAGCGTGAGGTCAAGGTGTAGAGTTACTTTGAGGAAAGGAGACGAGGGAAGGAGGGATGAGAAGGGAGGAAACAAGAGCAAGAGGAAGAAAGAGAGAGGATGAGTGTGTTCGAGAGGAAAACCAAAGTGTGAATGAAAGAAGAGAGAGAGAGAGAGAGAGAGAGAGGGAAAGAGAGGGAAAGAGAGAGAGAGAGGGGTCAGGATGAAGTCAGTGTTGAGGGACTGGGTGGAACCAGATGGGAAACACATGCTGTGTCACACACACACACACACACACACACACACACACACACACACACACACACACACACACACACACACACACACACACACACACACACAGTAGGCGGAGTGATGATGACCTCCTGACTCCAGATGGAGGGATGACACTCCTCCTCTGTCCTCCCACCTTTAACATTAGTCAAGTCTGATCCTCTGATGTAACCCCACACAGTCACTGTCACCTCTGCGGCATTCTGGGTATTTGAGTCCCTGAAGAATCCCCAGCATTAATTCTCTGCAATTAGAGGCGGCATGTGCTGTAACTCCAGAGGAATGCTGCGTTCAGGTCACGTGGGAAAAGAGATAAACAGGAGGATCAGGGGGACACCTCACATCCACACTGTCAGTGTCACAGAGACTCCGCTGGATTGAAGTCAAAGGTGTCAGTTTTTCACATGATAAACAACCAGTTTGAGCCCCAAACAGAGAACATGACTAACTATTTAGTCATTAACAAAAGCGCACACACAAAAAAGCACCGCAGCTGTGGTCAAAGAGGCCCTGAAGAATCTGAACATCTCTGCTCAAGAGGGTAAACCAGTCTCCTTCAGCTCTGCAGCAAGTACAAAATCTACCAGAGCATCACAGACCAACAACTTCCTGCTCTGGACCACACCTTCACCTGCTTTTTTCTGCAGAAAACTCACCACTTCCTAAAGGACTGATTTCAGCTGCACGCCTGTTGGACCTGCTGCCTTGCAGAACACGCTGCAGCTGAATCTACACCTGCACCATGAGGTTTATCAAGTTTCCATCACACCAACCTCTGACCTGAAAACACACCCTCCAAATCTCACTGTATCAACATGCATGTTTGTTTAGTTACTCCAACAGCAACGGACTTAATATCAATAATCATAACGAACTGAACTGAAGGTGGGGGCTGGGATTTGAATCCGAATCTATTAGACTGAAACAACCCCAGATCAGATGTTAAATCTTCAGCGTTCCAGATTAGAGAAATTGGTGATCTTGATCAGGTGAGGTAAACACTTCTAGATCAGAAAGAAAAATGAGGAAGCTGCACTTACACCAGATGTTACACAAGAACAGTCGCAGTCCTGGCAATAGGTTGAACCAGATGAGCTGACTAATCACACCTGTATGAGACAGTCAAAGGATCCAGCTGACACATAAGATAAACTGTCTACAGTCAGAGGATCAGACTGTGAGGTGTGGTCAGAGTAACAGCTTACATAACTCAGATAGACTGTATGTCAATGTGTGTGCACAAGACTGCGTGTGTGCTTGTGTGTGTGCCAGATCTGAGCAAGATCTGAGCAGTTTAACTGTGAGAGTCATACTCAAAGAAAGGCAACAAGCTCGGGAAGAATTGACAGAAAACCGACCCGGACTTTTACTCCAAAATTACAACCCATAGTTGGTGAGGATCAGGACTGGCATCTGGGTTTCTTGGAGTTTATTTCAGAAAGACAAAAAGGTCAGAACTTGACTGAAATTAACTTTAAACTGGATATGACAAAGGTCTGACTGACCTGTCTTTAGTTTTCCTTTGACCCACCATAGCAGAGCCAAAGCAGTCAGCCCTCTCTCTGCAGCAGTGATGGAAATAATACCATCACATAACATACTTTGAGTTCGAGCTACCTGCTGTGAGCCAAGTATGCAGGTGCAGCTGATCAGACTGATGTCAGCAGGTTAACACCTCACAACAGCTGATAGAGCATTATCAAGGAGAACCAGCATGGAGCTGAGGATGAAACTTAAACACAAACAATAAGTACAGCACTGTTTAAAGGACATGACTGTCGGTCAGTTACTGAGGAAGATTCAGGACTGTAGGATGTCCTCACATTAGTTGTGTTTACATGGGCACAAATAATCGGAATAAATGCAGACTGGAATAAAAATGCGTCATGTAAACATGTCGATCGGAAGATTCTGATCCAATTCAGCTCAACCTCAAATCAGACAACTCTGTGCATGTCCAAATGCTTTCAGGACCTGCACTGCACTGAAACCAACCACAGTGGAACTCCTGAAGACTGCAGACGCTGTTGCATTAACTAGAGATCCCTGGACATCAGTCAGCCATCAGGATGATCTCAGCGTAACTGCAGACTGACTCTGATCAAATGTTTAATACATGCACTGCTGCATTTTTAAAGGAATAAACTTTGAACATTTGAGGATGAAATTTAAATGTGAAATTTAAAATGCACTGAAAGCATTTTAAATGAGTATGAGCATGCTGTCAGAGGAGCATGTTTTCAGAAGAGCATGTTTTTGGAAGAGGAGCATGCGGTTCTGCATGTCTTCTCATAGGTCCTGTCTCTCCTTAGCCCCTGTCCCCTCTCTTTCCTCCCTCTATTCCCCTCAAAAAGAAAAAGATCCCAAAGTGATTCGATCCAGTCTGATCATTTAGTCACTAAAGGAGCGGCAGATCTGCAGACTCAGAGACAAACCTGTCAAAGAAGAGCCAGGACGAGCTGAAATGGAGTCATCTTAGATATAATCAAGACCAAAAAACCACTGAATCATTTTTGATGAAAACCAGAACAGAAACTTATCAGGACTTGGTCGCACACTGACAGCTGCAGGACGAGGAAAATCAGCACTAACACAGAGAAATCTGTCCCCAGTGAGTCTGACTCACATGTTTGATCGTATCTCATCATTTCATCACAGAACAACCCTCCATCTATCCTGAGAACCAACCAGAACCATATGATGGACATAACCGTGCATGTGGAGCGGCCCACATGCTAACAGCAGGAACCATGTGGGATTTTCCACACGTGTAACTGATGTGGTTCCTCCGCAAACAGGCTCCCTAAAACACTTTCTTTAACCTTAAACAAGAGACTGTCTTCCTCCAGAGACTGGCTCTTCTCTGCCTACGCCACAACAGCAGACTGACGTTATGTAAGCAGCCGTCCGGTTCTGCAGGTAAAAATTCCGAAACAGGTGTGACCAGCTGTGACTGAGCGTCACGTTGCTTCCTTAAAATGACTTTTCTTTGTTCAGACTATTCAAACAGCTGACTCCAGCTTCAAGTGAGTCAGTGGAGGATTCTGGGAAAGGGCTGGGTTAAAGATGACCGGGGCTGATGGGAAATACATCAACACGCACCCAACACGCACACACATACACATACAAGCTGGATCCAGATTGTTATGTATTTTATTGCTTTGGCAACAGCGTAGTGACAGCCGTGCCAAGGTGATGAATGTTTGAATCGAGCTGAGCACAGAGAGAAAAACGGAGATCAAACCAAGAAAGAAAGTAAAACCCAGAGAAAAACTCCTCCAGGAAAACTTTCCAGCATCTCAGACTTTCAAAGAAAAGCGGCTTTTCAAAATAAAAGCATGCAGATTGGACAACAAAAGACAAGAAGGAGGTGCCATCTCCTAACAGCTGCAGAGTCCATCACGTCTGCGCTTCTACCTTTGTGAGGATCCTCCATGACCCTTCAAACCTTTACCACCACGGCTGCATACCTGACCCCCACCTTTACCCGAGTCAGACCCTAAAAACCGAGTCTTAATCTTCAAACGGTTCTGGAAGGAGGACTCTCCGTGTCCAGACTCAAGTGGGTCCAGCCTGAGACAGAAACACACGAGCACAGAGTCATATTTACCAGAATAAATGCCTCCTACACACGCAGATTTATCCATTACCTAATGGAAAAAATGAAACCTGCTCTAAATAACTGAATGTTCTGCTGGTGTGCAAACCCAAACTGAAGTGATAGTAGCGGGTAAAAGTATTATTATCCATGTTAATGCAGAAACCATGCAGAGCTCTGGAAATCAGGCTTTAAACTTATAGCCCTGAAGCACCATCAAGGATCAGATCCATGCTCCTGTCTGCATAATTATCTCTATTTTCTACAAGTCAGAGGCAAATATCACCATGCACAGATCGCCAGCTGCTCACAAAACAACCTACAAAAACTTAAAGTCAACTTTCAGACGGACACGTCCTGAGAAAAGAGTGTTTCTGTCCTCTGAACTCCCTCTGCCACAGAAAAGGGAAGTTATCAGTCAGTGACTTCATTTCTGATCGTCCCCAGGAGTTTCTGACAGCTGCTTCACTGTAAACCACAAACATCATCATGAGGTACGGCACCACCGCTGTATTTACTGTATTACACAACTTCCCTTTAACAACATCGTCTGTGTGTACGTGCGCGAGTGTGTGTTTTCTCATTTCGATACTCAGCTGCTGAATATATCAAACAAAGGTTAATGGAGTGACAAGGCCGCTGCACGGCGCTGACCCTTGCTCATTATTCATGGGCGCAGCTGCACGCTCAGCAGCATGTTGAAGGTTAAGGCTGATTCAGAGGAGGACAGTAAAAGAAAAGCATCATCTGCTGGAACTAACGGGAAACCAGTAACACCAGTTAAAACCGCACACATTACTGAGATATGATGAAGACAGCATTAAAAATAGGCCGACTGTTCGGAAACAGGCTGAGACAAACCCTGATGTTTGATCCTGGCCTGATCTCAAATTTGATAGCTGATATTTGCTGAATAACTCTATGATAATAACTTTTCTTTCAAACTGGGCTTAAAGACACAGCCTGATCGCAGTTGTTGTTAGTGTGTCTGTGTTGAAAGGAGACACCTGTTAGTTTTACCTGTACAGACTGAAGGCTGCTGGTCTGATTTATAAACCTGTTGTCACTCTTGTTAGAATTTCCCCGGCCTAATCACCATCAGACGCTCCCGTGACCACCATCCATAACAATCAGCTGTTATTCATGAGTTCATGCTTTCAGTACTCGGAGTTAGCTTGAACTTCCTCTCCCAGCTGTTTGCCACCTGTTTGTGTGGCGTGTATCCCCTGGTTGTGTCCACATGCAAACATCTATTTCCACTCAGCCCATCTCTGTGCAAAAACAAGCTGGATTTATGCTGCTGATGACAGGAGGGCAGCCCAGCGCCTTCATAAACGGCCTCTGGAGGTTGTCAGGGGTAACTGTGTCTTCACTTATCAATAAACGAAGCGAGTGCTGAATTTACCCTGAATTATCCCGTTACCCAAACACTGCGGTGACTCCGAACTCGAGCCTGTTCAAACTGTTTGACATCCACGTTTATTCTGCGCCCCAGACCACAAATTTGCAACAAAACTGCACCAAACAAACTCTCGCACCATATTTTGCTCATCATCCAAGCGTCTATTGTTCCATCTGATCTGCTGTGTATTTATTTTATCCTGGGGAGGCATTGTGTTTGATGGAAGCCACATTTCCCACAGGGGGGGGAGAGAGCAGAAATCCTCGAAAAACCTCGACCCGAAATTCAGAGCTGAGAGTGTTACCCAACCGGAGTGAGACAGCTGCAACAATATCAGGCTGGAGACAGAGCGAGGGGTGAGCAGGGGGTGAGGGAGGAAAGATGGCAAAGAGAGGGGAGAGAGAAGGGGGGTCAGTGATGCTCTATTTTTATCTCTAAGCCTGAGTCGTGTCTCGACTTGAACCGAGGCAAAGAAAGATTGTGTTGAAAGGCGCGTGGACGCAAATGATTTCATAACCTCAGTGCACAGCAGGAGTTTGTATGTGGTGTGTGTGTGCATGCGTGTGTGTGTGAGTGAGAGAGAGAGATTCTGTTCAATCTCTCTGTGTGAGTATTTAGATTGGAGGGATTCAGAAACAGTACAGCAGTCAAGGCCGGCACAGAGAGCAGCTGATTATTGGACTCCAGTGTGAAGACAGAATGAGCCTTAATTCTATCCAGATCACTGAGTCCAACTCTGCAACAACACCGCCAGGATATGTGGATCATGAATGACCCAGCGACAGTGTCAAATAGTCTGAAAACTAGCAGCTTAAGTTGGGAATAAGTGTAAATGTCCTGCAGCAGGGAAAAAGCTCAGACTGAAGCGTAATCTGAGACAGAGAGCGGTTGATTTGAAAGTATCTGGAGTTATTAAGAACGATATAAAGACCCAGGTCTGAAACTCCAGTCCTCCTCCCTGCCCTCCTACAAGTGTATGTGGAAATTAAAAGCCTGAGGCAGGCGGAGCAGGCAGACCTGTTCACTTTGTTACTATAAACCAGTGAAACTAATCTGAAGACAAATACCAGACCACAAAAACCAGCGTGAGCATCAGCTTCACAGCAGGATCTGTACCAGCACCAAGGAGACATCAGTTTAACACAAACTTAACAGGAATACTCAGAGAAATGTGAATTTCTGTTGAACCAAACAGCTCAGAGACATCTCCACGATACAACCCTCAAACCACTTAGACCCTGATAAAACCAGTCCAGAGACCAACTGAGACAGAAACTCTCCACAGTACAGATGAATGTATAAACCCCTCAGAAAAGGAGATAAAGTGGACCAGCTTTAGATCCAGCTTTAATGAAAACACTCTAATCTGAATCAATCTGAACTAACGTTGACTTTAACGACTGTCCGCCTCTTTTCTCTCTTTATTACAGCGCACTGCTCCTTTAATATCTGCACAAACATACAGGTGTTTACAGTCATCTCTGCTTCACAAATACTGGTCTAACTCCAGACTGGATTCATGCTGGTTTAAAATGCTTTACAGTCTGATAAGAGCTCAGGTTCGACCTGAATAACAAGGTCACACAGATAAAACAGGTCCAAACACAGCGCTCCATGTCACACTGTGGAGTCAGACTCCTGTGGGTGAGATAGGAGAGGTGAGGAGGCTTACCTGTCGGTCTGCACATGCTCAGTTTGGTTTCAGAGGAAATCCTCATGGGGCCGACCTGAGGAGACAAAGAGGACAAAGATGATGAGTGAGATTGAATTTAACTTATCAGACTCTGAAAAAAAAAGTCTTGACAGTATTTACACGCAGAGCTTTACTTTTGGTGATTTAACGTCAGAGTCATTTTTAGTGTTTCATAACCCAAAACAGTCTGTAAACCCAGAGCTGTTATATCATGTGAGTCTAAAAACCCTGTAACTAAACCAAGACAACCAACACAAAGAAAACCTAAGTATTACTTCACAGGATATCTGAACTTCACATGAACTTAAACAGCAACTCAGAGGCACGTCCACATCAGCAGTCTGTGCGATCACTTCTTCATGACGTTTCACAGTCACACATCAACAAACCAAACAGCCCAAACTCAGCTAAAGTACAACAGAACAACATCGGTCATCTGTGCCTGTTTACATCCTGATAGTACAGCTTCGCAGCAGTATGGCAGCAGACGTGAACTACAGCGCTGACTAGTGGAAGGAGGCTGAACTGCAGCTGAGGCTGAGACGCAGTAATAAATATATTAACATCAATTTAACCAGTGAGGATAACAACGTTGAACCATTTCACACCTCCAATATTATTTCTAAAACATGCTGATTTTTACGAAGTGCACAGTCTCATTTACAATCAGAGTACTTATTTAAAAAATAGATTTAAAAGAGGGTGAGGCGTAGATCCATTTTTACTGGTGTCTTAAAGGGGGGAGAGAGAGAGAGAGAGATGTGTGTTTGCTGATAGTGTGTTTACACTCATGTTGTCTTAATGTTGACTTTGGATGTTGACGTGTTTGTGGGTCTTATCGTATCTGAGTGTGTGTTTGTGTGTGTTCATTCTGAGGAATGAGCGTACCCTTTAAGTAGACGTTGACTTGGACACTGGTACATCTTTGTTTATAAAGCTTTTTGGCCAACGTTCTGGAGTACCTTCTCTCTGTTGATCTTAAGGGACGGATCACACAACTTCCATTGGTCTGACTTTGCACAGTTTGTTGTTCCTAAAGAATAATCTGCAGACTGAATTTAAACTCATTTAAAAGCTCTAAATGTTTTTAAATCTTAATTGAAAACTCTTAAATTCAAACTCTCTAAATGCCAACAATATTTTCTTATTTTTGTTTATATTTATTGTGTAGTGTGGTGGATTTGAGCACATGTATTTTGCTGCCTTGAAAAAGAGATCTCAGATCTCAACGGGACTGGCCTGGTTAAATAAAGGTTAAAAAAAAGGAACCCCTGTCACTATGGCAACAGGATGTAAACAGGATGTGGTGAAGGAAGTGGTCACCGGAAATGTGAGGCAGACACCCCTCCCCTCCCTGTTTGTTATCTCACACACACTTACACACACTCATTCAGAAAAACATACTGAGTGTTTTGGCAGGAAGAAATGAGAGATAAGGGGGGAGAGAGGAGGAGGGAGGGAGGGAAAATGGAGTAGAGGATGATGAGGAAGGGAAGATAGATGCTGAAGAAACAATAAGGAGGACAAAAATCGGTGAAGAAAGAGAAAGACAGAAAAGAGCGAGAGAGGGGAGCAACAGGGGGAAGGAGTGAGGAGGCAGAGGGTGAGGAAAAGAGGAGAAAAATGGAAGAGAATGACAAAAGAAAGATGGAGAGGAAAGTAGAGAGAGAAGGAGAGATGGAAAAAAAAGAAAGAAGAGAGAGAATGATATCTCGGTTTGTGTGAAACCACAGGAGGGGACAGGTGCAGAGACAGAGAAATAAAAAACAAGAAGAAAAAGAGGAAGAGAGAAAGAGAGAAATACTCGACAAGAATAGAGAGGGGGAGGATGATCGAGAGAGGAGGGAGAAAAAAGAGGACGAATGCTGAGGGGAGAGGGAGAGAGGAAGGGAGGAAACAGTGAAAGAGACAAAGCCAAAGGATAAAGGATGCAAAACAGAAGGAAAGAAGAGGGAGTGAGAAGACGGAGAGAGAAAGAGAAAGGCTAAGAGAGAGAGATCACAGGAGTTAAGAAACATCCATGAACAGACATCTATGAGCATGAACATCAAATACACACACACACACACACACACACACACACACACACACACACACACACACACACACACA